ACACATTCTAGTGCTTAGAGTGACTATTTATACTAAAGAGTTGGTCAACCCAAAACTAAGGATGCACATGCCATTGAACTGGACATATTAGAAATGTGAACCTGGAGCAAATTTTACAGATAACCCCATTGTTTATGAGAGAGAGAGAGAGAGCGAGAGATGGGGAAGGACACAAATCCAGATCTAGCCTCTGTCAATAGTAAAAGTGCATCAATGACTGACAAAGGGAAGAACATGATTGGATTGTTGTAGATGAAAAGGAGAAGTGCATGGGGCTGTGCTCTAGCCATGCTGGATTCCCTACAGTTGGCTTTTGGGGGAAAAAAAATCAACAGGGAGGGAGCAGAGAGCACAGCTTCCCTCCCTGAAATTAGCTAGAGCAAACACAGAAACCTACCTCCCACTGTTAGGCACCTAGAACCATTGTGGATCTGGGCCCAAGTGAACATATGGTGCTGTATTTTATATTCAAATGAGGTTTTACTAATACATTTAAAGCTTTGTAGCATTTATAATAATTAAGTATGAACCGTCTGCCTAGCTCTGCACAACCTTAATTTTATACACATATCCAGTGTGATATCCCAATGTGTATGTGGTGGAATTCCTAGGCAGAAATCTAATCTAAAGAGTTATTTTATTCTTGTGTATTGCAGGTAACAGAACTGGCAATGAAGATTAGTACATATTTAAAACTAGCCACACTTTAATCCTCAGAATAATTTCATTCAAACAGTATTTCTTTGGGCCCGTACAGATTCTTTATGTTTGAGTTAAAGGGTTGAATTTTGAAAACCCAGCTTCCATTTTATCTGCTGGAAATACTTGGGAGTCATAACTACACAGAAGACCGATGCATCATGAACTGAATGGTCTACCTCAAGCATTACAGGTCTACTGAATGGTCTACCAGGGTCACCATTACAGAGGTTAATAATACCCTTACCCTGTGACAGGGATCAGTATCCTCTGACTCTAGTGGTTTCCGAGAGTCAATATTCGCAGGTGCAAGTTCGTGGCAAAAATTATGTACGGGCCCTCATATCATCTTGACATCTAATTAGCTCTTTAATTCATATAAAACGCATCCTCATTTGTACCCAAAAAACTACAGTTGCGAAAAACCAAGGCATGATTAAGTACAGGCTGAAAATCTTGCCCTCAGGGTGTGCTACAGAACTGGTCAATAAGAAAAGGTAGAGAAAGGACCATGAAGTTTGGGATGATTCAGAAGGAAAATGAGTATGGGTAGATGAACCACATACAAGAATCAGTGGTTGTCAGTACATCTACTGTACATCCCAAGCACTGGCTCCATTTTTACCCCCAGCTCCTGTTCCCTTCCACACATAATTATTGATCTTTACAGAAATATCAGAGGTTTAGAAGAACTGTAAACCAAAGAAAGCCAACTGTTTTAATATGAAAAATTAAAGCATCATACAAAATGAAATATGTTAACGTGTGATGGATAGGCTTGAGGCATTGTTGTGTTATCACAGAAACCTCATGGCTAACGAGCCTGTTTGTTATGGGTGCCATGCAAAGTACTACGTTTAGTTTAGTTTTTTCTGCTGAAAAAAAGTCTAAGTAGTTACATAAAACCTGCATACATTATCATAGACCTCATTCATTTTCCTCACTTCATCAGCTGTTTGAAAATTACGGTATTTACTATTTGGGTTAAGTACAAAGCCTGCACTTTAAGTGCGAATACAAAGTTCCCAACACGGGATAAATTTCCTTAATCTCAGTTGTGTGGGCAGAAGTGAAGACCAAATGATTTATTCAAACCAGCTGTCTAGGAGAACCAGAATTAGAACTCAGACCGACTCCCACCCCAGTACATGCTTCCTCCCATGGAATAAGTTCTAGATTTTAACCCACTTCCCAAGTGAAGTGTACAAAAGCACCATGAATAGACAAAAAAACTATGTATGACAATAGCTGTGTTCGGATATCCCATTACCCAGTAGACTATTTTCATATACTGAAGGCATAGGGCTGGTTAAGTCTGCCAAGATGGGTAGAGAGATGGAAAAGTTTAACATTGTTTCCAAAAAAACATAGTTTTGCCCCATCAGAATGCACTCTTAAATAATTGGGTAACAAGTCAGACATTTACTGGCTGAGCACTGAAATTGAAACTGGTCCTCACCTGCTTTTAGCAGCGCAGCTGCTAATTCTGCTGCAGGCGAATGATGTTTGCTATCACCTACCGGCAGATGCCCTTTCAGCTTCTAAATGAAGTCAGATACTAAAACCTCTAGTATAGCACTCAGTTAGTTAAGACCACTTATATTGATAAGTAATGCGATTCGCACATTCATGGACTTTAAAAAAAATCTTTTCTACAGAACTCTCTATTCCTGAGCTAATACCTTCACAGATTTTATTGATAAAGGCTGTTTTCTAAAATGTGTCTCAAAGGAGAAGATTAGGTGGGTTTCTTTCTTGTAAATACATTTTGCCACTACACTTTAATACAATAATTTTCTTGTATGAGAATGCTGGCAATAAAAAACAGCAAGTTAAGCTAAAATAAAGGTTTTTAGAGCGTGCCAAGATCTTTAATCTGAGATGCAAGCAAAGTTTTCAGGGTTTGCACTGTCTAATCTCATATTCTTTCTATTTAATTGCTATTCAGAATTATTAGGGGAACAGTATCCACTTTTTATGTATAGTTTCAAATTATTGTTCTGTCAGAAATAACAATATTGAGCCCTTTGTGGAAGCATTTTCCATAGTGAAAAGAAATGCTGAGGGCAGGGGAAATGAGAACAATTTAAAGTGAAGCATGTCCTCGTTCTGCAGTAGAAATAAGGTCATATTCCATCACCAGGGACATTATTACAATCAAATTTGAAATGTATGTGTCCGCTATCAGTAAGTGGAAGTTTTGCTAAAAGCAATAGGATCTTATTACATGCTTACACCAACCGTACTGTAGTGACCATGAATACCCAGTAACTCTAAAAGTTTGAGATCTGTAAAGGTGCCATGGCAGATCCGTGATCCAGTAGTTGGAAAGGAACAAAAATAAAAAGTACGTATAATGTAGTTTTAAAGGCTTTTATGCACTGAAGGGTGGGGTCCATGCATGCAACTTCTCTAGTAACATTTGTAAAAGTAAGTCTTCATCTCTTCCCACCAGCATCATATGTGCCATAGATGAGAAATACCTGCTAAATTGCTTAGCCATTCTACAGAAACTTGGGTTTTGTTTTTACAAATCAGTGGAAAGGAAAAAAACGGTGTAACATGGACTACCTCTTACAGCTTGGGAAAATATTGGATTTGCAAAACATAACAGTTTGGTTAATCATTGCTGAATATTTAGCCATTGTGCTCTCTTCCTGCAGCAGTACGTGCCCCTTTGCCACTGAAGAGCAGAACAAACAGGCCCATTAAACAGGTGCAATTTTTGCCATGTAATATACAGCTCATGTTCTTGTTTTTATGGGCCTGATTCCTAGAGAGGATGAATAATCTCAACCCCACTGGATTAAGCACCGATCTGGGCTGCTTTGAAACCCCAACCACAAATTAAATCCTCCTTTCCCTGATGGAAAGCCTCTTGCAAAACAGCACTATCATTGCTGGGGAGGGAGAAATTTGCACCCCTCCATGTCAGCTGTGTTCAATCCAGACCCACATTTTCCACACATCTGTTTTACTAATACCATGCTATCTTATTAAAAGTCAAGTGCTTAGCAGGATTCAACTAAAGGATGAGACATCTGTATGGATAATGGGCTTGGCCCTCTGAAATGTTGAGCCCTCCTACTGATGTCAATCCTCCAAAGCACTTAAGCACGTACTTAACTTTAAGCACAGGAGTAGAGCCATCGAAATAACTGGAAAACTAGTGCTTTGCAGAATCAGGGCCAGAGGGCTCAGCACCTTGCACATGGAGTCCAGTTACATTAGATAGGGTTAATTACACAATGATGAAAGAGAAAAAAAAACTTTAGAAGGGTAATCAGCCCCTTGCCATCAGTAGTTGGTGTATACATTGAAGCATAAGTTATTCCATAGTTGTCCACTATGTGGTATCTTGTGCTTTTCTCTGAGGAAGCAGTGCTGGCCACTGTCAAAAACAGAATACTAGTCTAGCTGGATCACTGCTCTGGCAAGTCCTGTGTCCCTAATCTAATTTTATTTTCACTGTTTTTTTCCATCTGACAACTTGTGAATTTCACATTTATTTCTAGTCCAGTGGCTCTCAAACTTTTTTTTTCGCCGACCACCTGAAAATTGCTGAGGGGCTCAGCAGACCACTTACTGATCCTTCCAAATGTTGTTTGTACCGTTAGCTAACTATTGTAAAGCTCTTTGGATAAAAGCGCTATATAAAAAAACGTAATAATTAACTTTTTTGTTCTACAAATAAAAGCACACAACTCATATTTTAATATCAGTAGTCTTACCTTTCTAATGCGACGGATGTGCCCTCTCTGGCCACTGCAGCCCTGCACGTCCCAAATTGCCCCACACCCCGTCTTCTCACCCCACTGCCCCCTCCCACCTACACCCTATTCCCTCCAAGGACACCAACTCACCTTACACGTGCATCCTTTCCAGGGTCCAGGCACCAAAGTAATGGAGCTATGCCTGCGCAGCTCCACTAATTAGGTGGGTGGCCCTTCATTCTTAGGTGTGCAGCTGTCCAGGCACGCATCTTAGAGGGAATTATCCACGGATCACCTGAATGGAGCTTGCAGACCACGGACCACAGTTTAAGAACCTTTGTTCTAGTTAGTTTTGATGTCTGGTTCTCATGAATTAGCTGGAACACAGTATTGCAGTGTTTGGGATGCAGCTATGAAAAATACATTTACATATAGTTTTTAGTGGAAAAATTAAGAATCCTTGATGCATTTATATCATTAATCCCAGTTTTGTTAAATCTGATGTTATTATTTTACAAAAACTAAATTGTGGACCTAATACCAACCCTTTAATAATGGGGAAAAAAAACAACTCCATCACAAAGCAACCACAAATACACCTGCAACTTTATTAATTCACCTCTTACAGCTTCATATTTATTCTCTTAAATCCTGCATTTAGACATGAAGGCAATAATAAAATATCTGTACACTACTTCTGTTACAAATATAGATAATATTTGAAGAGACTTTACATACTCTAACATGGGCATTTCACACACTATACTGGGAATGAGGACAGGCTAATAATGCATCACCAGTTGCCTCAAGTACTGGCACCATCTGTTTTTCTTAAGTCTATTGTATGTAACATCTAAAATAATTATTGAAAAAGAGGGGTCTTTTTAGTTAATCCACTTACATTTAGCTATCAATTCACAAGTACATCTCTACCTCGATATAACGCTGGCCTCGGGAGCCAAAAAAATCTTACCACGTTATAGGTGAAACCGCGTTATATTGAACTTGCTTTGATCCATCGGAGCGCGCAGCCTCCACCCCCACCCCCGGAGCACTGCTTTACTGCGTTATATCTGAATTCGTGTTATATCGGGTTGCGTTATATCGAGGTAGCGCTGTAGTATCTCTTTAAACATTCCTAACCTGCTATATTTCACTCAGTAAAATAATGAATGGTGTCTCGTTTGCATATTTCTCTAGCACAGTTTGAACATGCCCCCACTTTAGAATTAAATATTATAAACAACTGACATGGTGCTCCAGCTGCTCTAGGTGTTTGCTAGTCAATAGTCTTGCAGCTACATGAAAACACGCCGTGGGCAGCACCCTAGCCTAAAGGAACACCAGTGCTCACATGACCTTTGACATTTCTTCCTCTCTAAAGGTTTTAAAGACATATTGTATTTAGTGACAAGGTAAATCACAGATGGGGCTTGACCAAGCAGATACAGTACTAGGCAAAAGGGGGGAAACTGACAGAGAGTTCACAAGTAAGGTCCAGGGACAACACTTTATAGTGAGAAGCCAGGAGCATTGTTCCTACAGCTTTACAGGGCTTCATCTTACATATCAGGGTCTGGCTTGTAAGTGTTCAATAATTTAGAACTCCTTCCAGCAGCTGGCAGGACTAAGGGACTTCTTTCTCTGCCCATCCTTTCCCCTCCTGCATGCTTTCTGACTAGGGTGAAGTTGAAGAGGAACCTCTACCATTTGCCCTACTCTTGGACTCCTCTATAATGAGGGGGGTCTTTATTATTCTACCCTCCTCTCTCTTTTTTGGGGGGTCCTCCTACACTCTGAATGTCTTCAGTATCTGCTTCTGCTTAGAGCAGTGGTGAGCAACCCCGAGACCTGCACACCATATGAGGCCCATCAAGGTAAGCTGATTGCGGGCCGTGAGACAATTTTACTGACCTTGACCGTCTGCTGGCACGGCCCACCGCAGCTCCCAGTGGCCACAGTTCGCTGTTCCCACCCACTGGGAGCTGCGGGGGCTATGCCTGGGGATGGCCAAAGTCAGCAAAATGTCTCATGGCCTGCAATCTGATTACTGTGATGGGCCGCAGGTTGCCCACCACTGGCTTATAGAGCAATAGCAGCAGCATGAAATTGACTCCTCACCCATTTTACTACCTTCCACTGGGCTCTGACTAGTGACACGGAAGCTAGCCATGGTGGTTAATTTGTACTGTTGCTTCAAGAAGCTGTGAGCAGCAGTGACTGTGACACTGGATCTACCTGTCTGCAAACTTAGGAAGAGGGCAGTGTTCATTTTACTGTTCACATCGGGAACATTATCTTCACACCCACCAAGCTTAGGAACTTCACTACTTTAAAAGAGAAGCCGAAATCCTTGTGATACTGCAGGTCCAGGAAGGCTCCCTCATTCACCAGGGAAAGTTTCCTGCAAGTGGATTTTTCAACCCCTGAGCACCAAAAAAAACCAACCCCCCTCTCCATTATTTTGTGTCTGGAGCACGTAATTAGCAACACTGACTCTCTAATTTTTCCATCTATCTTCTTTTGTTAAACTGTTGTTCCTCCTGTGACTTTATTTCTGCTATTTAAATAGACTCAGTTATCTCCTCCCCCCTTGACTATTTAGCGCACACATTCTCCCTCCCACACCTATCGCAAATATTCAAAGCCTCTTTGCAAAACATTCCAGTTTGCAATGCGGTTACTAATGCAAACTTTCATGTTCTGGTGGGTCACCTGTATTCATTACAGTAATAATAAAAAACCTTAAGTCTTTGCCAGAGACTACATAAGCCCATCCCAGTGATTCGACAGTAAGACAAATACTTCTATTGTGTTCAAAAATATGATTAAGTGTTATTTTTTCTTCAGTGATATAACAGTCTGGTAAAGCTGGAGTAGCAAGAAGGCTACATAAACATTTCCATTCTCTTTGCTATGTGGAATGTAGATAATGGAATCTTGTTGATCCTATTATTTGGACAGCCAGTTCATGAGAGAACAGTCAGAGTGACAGTCCCTTTTGTCCTTTTTAGAAGAGCAACTGCTTCTTCATGGGTCACCCCTTCTAAGCTCTGCCCGTTGACAGCAATGATCTGATCCCCTCTCTTCAGCCGTCCGTCTTCTGCTGCTGCACCCTGAAATTAAACAGCATGTAACTGCAGACATGCATTTCTGAAACTCCTGGTTTTATAGCTGTTCACAGAGAAATCTAAAGAGGGTCTTAGTAAGATGGGTTCAATATACAGCACACATTAAACTTTTCTGCTTGAGAAAGGCTAAGCTGATCAGTTTTCGTTACTAGAAATCCAGGCTCATTTTGTCCTTGGTAGTATCTGCCTATAGGTTTTTACATAAAGTTTCCACTGTGCAAACTAACCAGATGGAGTAATGAAATTCCTCATCACCTTATTAATGGAATTAAATTTACAACATGGGAACGATGTAATGCATACATTCTATAAGTCAGAGCTGTGGAATTTTTAAACTCCTTCAGCCGTCTTGCACTGGCTGGCAAAGTTCTCAACAATTCAAATTAGAAATCAAATCCAGATCTGAACCTAAATGTCAAAGTCTGGAAGTTTTCCTACTTGGTTTTCTGACTCAGGCCTGCTACACACCAAGTTTAGATCATGATCTGAGCTTCTCCAAAGTTAAGGTTTGGATCCAGTGGTTCTGGCCTATATTTGATTCCAATATTCACAGCAAGTAATTCAAACTCACCCCAAGCACTGCTTGAAGAGAATGCAAACTAAACAGTGAGGGGCCAATTGTCCAAAGTGGACAACTAAATTACATCCTCAAATCCAAATGTTTCATGTGAGCAAATTGGGAATTCAGAAAATAGGGCCCAGTTTACTTAAAGCCTCAAACTGCGGACACAATTTTAAATGGTACCTGCATTCCTGCTTGAAGAAGATAAACTGTCCAGAACCCACTGGCTTCTCCCCGGGCCATATATTAATAAATCAGCTGCTGAGTCTGAGCACTGAATTGTTTGAGTAGTTTTACACCCATGCACTTACCTTTGCAAATACTGTCTTAACGTAGATGGGTAAATCTCCATGAGGACTGCCATATCCTCCCACAATACTAAAGCCTAGACCATCCTGTCCTCGATCTAGAGTAATGGTCTTATACTGAGGGGGCCTACAACAGAGAAAAGAAGTTATCCTGTTTCTTTTGTGAACGTCTAGTTCAGTATGTGGATTGTTCAGCAAAGAGGCTCTTCACCTTTCAACACTAACAAATAAACTTTCCTTTACTGAGAACTCTACACAGGATTTTAAGTATATTGCGGTGAATATTTCAGTTCATGTCAACCATTGAAATCCTGCTTAATGCCGTAAGCTGGTTACTTATTTACAGTTTCCTTTCATAACTTCGCCATGGTATTTTACCTTCTGGCTGCAGAAGTTTATTCATTCTGTCATTTAATACACTGCATAATTGTTTGAATGGTCCACTACTGATGCTTATTACCTATGGATAAGTAAGTATCAATATCTTGGAGCTCAGAGAGAAACAAAATAAACCCCACAAAAACTACAACATTATTTTAAAAATCCCTCCCTCCCCCAAAACTCATATACAAGAGAAAATCAAAAATAGCCCCAACCAATTCCTAAGCCTGGTTTAGTCATTCCTGTTCTCTTCTGTTGTTTGGGCTTATATTTTTAGAAATGTGCAATGTTTCGACAGACTATAAGAACTACAGAACTTACAATTTCAATCATGTTTTTCACCACTCCTCCAGTAGACTATAATATACACTGTATACCTACAAGTTTGGGGGCTCATGGTCTGCTTTGAAATAATTTAATTTTTCAACCACAAAGAACTGTGCCCACATTTTCACACTCAGGATGGAAATATTAGCAGGTAGGCATCCAACTACCTTTTTGGGCACACACATCATGAATTTAAATATCTACTAATATTTGTGTCTGCAATGAATTGCAGGTATAATTATGTATAAAATTAAAACACCAACACCCCGCCCCAAGAACGAAAAAAAAACAAAAACCCAACCACCATGGAGGTTGTGTTGTCCCAGGAAATCAGGTGACCTATCAAAATCTATGAAGCCCCCAAAACACTCTCTCAGGCAGTAAATGTGCCTTGCAGCATACCCGACAAGTCAACAAACTCAGGCTCTGATAGACTGGTAGGGAGAGTGAGTTCCAGAGTCAACAGATCCATACTTAAAATGCCCTGCCATTTAAGCATGGAAGCAATTAGAGTGAGTACTTCAGCTGATCTCAACTACAACACAAGGAATGAAGCAGTCTCTAAGGTGCTGAAATCAAATCAAATCATAGCCTTATGGGTCAAAATCACCATAGTGAGTTGTACCCTGAAATGAACCAGAATGTCCTATGTGGCCTATGGAGCCCAGTTATAGGTTTCCTGTGACAGTCATGACTAAGTTAGCAGGACACCTCACTCTGCACATGCTGCAACTTCTAAGCAGTTTTCAGGTGCAGTCCCAGCCAGTGGGCCTTACAGTCACTCAATTAGAAAGGATCCATCGAGGATAATATATGCACTTACCCTAAATCATCCTGAAAGATGCTGCTTGAGGTTAGTCCTGCAAATGAAAGGCTGGAAGCTGGTGGATCCTGTTGCTGACCGGTTACGACACTTACATCCCCTCCAGCCACCACCTGAGAGGGCGCATTGTAGATAGTGAAATGACAACTGAGCACACAGTGATTAACACCACAGTATTTACAAAGGTGAAATGACCAAAACAAGCCTCATTTGTTGCAAAAACCTATCTTCCTTTCAGCTAAAATAAGAATAAATGATAACTTTGGAGCAAAATATGGAGAGGATGTGAAAACTGCACAACATAACCCTCCAATCCTTTATATTCTCTGGCTACGTTTTCCTCAGAACTGGGCAGCTGTGTGTTACTCTTGGTTTTTCAGCCTCAAAATCAAAACCGCAAAGTGCGTTCTGAACATCAGTGCAGAGAAACTCCTTACCTGCAGTTCAACAGTGCCTGAAGCATTTTTCAGTAGGCTGACAGCTTGGGAGTGTGTCATGCCCTCAGTGGATGTTCCACAAATATTAACAATCCTATCCCCAACCTACAGAAGAGAAAATGAAAGAGCCAGCCATTAATAAGAAGCTATGTCACTGAGATCTACATGCCATCTCTTCAACACAAAATAAGATGGTACCCTCTCCATGAAGAATACTTGAATTGAGTAGCTAGTAGGATTTGCAAAAAATATATAGTATCAAGGAAATATTTACCACCTGTCTACAGCATATTCTTGATCTTGGATACAATAAAGTCTTTGGCCCAGATCTTCAGTTGGTTTAAATCAAGGCAGCTCTAGTGAATTCAATAAAGCTTCAGCAACTTACACCACCTGAGAATCTAGCCCTTTGTTTCCAGTGCAAGTCATAATTCTCTAGTGATAACTGGTGAAACAGCCCTGATTCTGAAGTAGTTATTGAGGTTTATATCCTCTAAGATCTGAATCTACATACACTATAGAGATGTCAGTATTATAGTTTACATAGTTGTAATTAGACATTGGAAGTCAACACATACACACCTCTGATATTTCAATCAGTAGATGACAGTCAAACATTTACACATTCTGGGAAGACAGACCAATGTAGCATATTATCATCAGGTCCCCCGGGTTCAAATGCAGCCTGGAATAATCCAGTGCAACTCCCAGAGGAATACATGGGCCACATTCAGTGGTGATGCAAACTGGTCTTAAAACCAGACATATATGGCTGCAAGTGGTAATGCACTCATTCATACCAATTTTGCACGCAGTGGGTGTATAAAACGAGAATAGCCTACACATAGAGATGGGTAAATTGAATGTGCTGCAGGAAAAGCAACTAACAGAAGGAAGTAAAATAAATCATATAACTGCAGGCATTGGGAAGGCTGCTGTCTGCTGTGCCAATAATCAGGACAGATGTGGGATCTATTTATCTACACATAAAAACATAGGAGCTGCCATATGCGATAGCTCATGGTTCATCTTGCCCAGTATCCTATCTCTGACAGTGGCCCATACCAGAGCTTCAGGGGGAGTGTACAGTACAATGCAATTATAGGTGATCCACCCGTCACCCCATCCTGGCTTCTGGTAGTCAGAGGTTTAAGGTTAACCCAAAAATGGGGTTGTATTTTTGACCATCTTAGCTAATAGCCATTGATGGACCTACCCTCCATGAATTTATCCAGCTCTTTTTGAACCCAGTTATATGTTTGGTGATCACAACACCCCATGGCAATGACTTCCACAGGTTAGTTGTGTGAGGTGTGAAAAAGTATTGCCTCTTGTTTGTATTGAACCAACTGCCTATTAATTTCATTGATGATCCCTGGTTTTTGTACTGTGTGAAAGGATAAATAACACTTCTCTATTAACTTTCTCCACCAAGCTCTTCACTTTGGTATCTGAAAGCCATGCTGGCTCCATGTTCCAAGATTGCTTTAAGATTTTCTCCCCAGTTGCTAATGTTTGTGAAAAAAAATGCTACCATCTAAAACTACTGTACTCTTGATTTGAATGGCAGAAATTTCTGGCATGGCCTGAAGCGCTAGTGAATACACCATGTGGCTCTACTCTGTGACCAAGCTAGAGTAATTTATTCAGCACCATCACATTAAGCTTTTTTACCAACCTCCTTTCTTAGCAATTAACTTACCCTGAGTTTCTGAGTTTGAGCTGCAACTCCATTTGGGTGCATCATAGCAATAAATATGGGAACATCTCCTAGGGGACTTCCTACTCCTCCAGCAATGCTCACTCCTAGGGAATCTGCAGGACCCTGTTACAGTAAGGAAAACAGATTAAGATACTGCTTGAGAGAAAATACACAATTACCTTTAGGCCCAGATTTTCAAGACTGACTAGAGATTTTGGGTACCCAACTTGAGACCTCTTAAAGGGGCCTGATTTTCAGACAGCACTGAACACCAAACCCTCAAAGTCAGGCCCCTTTTTGGTGTCTTAAGACAGGCACCCTAAAATTGAGGAATGTAAAACAACTATTCACTTATAAAGAACTCAGCCCTAATTCCTCCAGGTCAATGTACAGGGAGGGGATATGGCACTCTCACCCCTCTTCACTTTCATTCCACCATTGCAAATTCCTCAAAGTATGTCAGTTTGTCTTCATGTAGGGTCTTTCACATAGTGTGTCACAAGAAACTTCACTGAGAGAAGTAGGAGAAAAAGCCTTTTTTTGAAGACAATAGTTTCTCGTGGAGAAAAAAAGGAAAAATAAAGTTGAGACGTAAAACGTCTCTGGATGCTAGTAAGCAAGCAACAGAGTACAGTGAGGGGAGAATGGAAGACAGGAATGGGAGAAGGAACAATGAATTGAATTGTTTTGGTTCACTACCACTGAGAATTTTTTACTCTAGCCAAGAAGATGTGAATCTCTGTTCCTTCCACCTTCACTATTGCCTTGTAGATTGCCTGGCAGGCATTTCGAGCTCACACCTCTGTGCCATCAGGCTGGCTATTCTGTCTTGATTTTTTACTATACAGAGCCCTTATCACTGAAGTTGCAGAATGAAGCCTCTGATAACCACTGGGCAGAATAAGGCTCCCTGGCACCAATGACTGGGAAGTGTAGCCAATAATGAGGCTTATTAAAAGCGATACTGTGGTGTACGGTGGGGGTGTTGGCTCACCCAAAGCTTTTATAACAATGACCCAAGCAGTGAGGAAGCCATGTAACAATTTAACTCCTCTTGCACAATGTTGATCTCTCAGGGGAAAGAAAAGAGATGGAAAAAAAAGAGCAAACTTGTCCACAGTGAAAGAATCAAGAATCTCAACCTAAAGCTGTTTAGCTTAAGTTCTGCTAAAAAAAAAAGTTCAGACAGGACTCAATCCAGCTGCCATTTGTGTGGTGTAAATTACATGTGTACGTATCACATTTGCATGAAATTGGTTTCACATTGCAGCCTGATTTCCCCCCCCCTTCTTACACTGTTTTTACACCCATGCAATTCCACTGACTTCAGGGGAGTTGCTCCTGATTTTATGACCAGGCTTATCAATAGTGCACACCAGTGACAAACTATACATGAGCAAAATCTATTTGAGCTCAATTTATATGAACAAACTGGGTTGTGAGCATGCAGATTCTGTCACTGCACTCAAACAGCAGCCATAATTTGAAACTGCCCCCTTTATAGGCCTGTGCTTTAAGAAGAGGATCTACTGGTTTTGTATCTGTAAGTAATCGGACTAGCTGTGGTGATGTACACTCTTTTGTAACACTGCAAATATAGAAAGAGGACGAATACTCCTCCTAGTGTATTGCTGCTGTATGACACACACAGCAGTAACAGCTTTAGAAAGTTCAAAATAACATTTCAGCACAGTATAAAAAGCTATTTATAGAAGGGACAGAGAGAATAAAGCAGCTACAATAAATCCATACAATGAAAAGCCCTGAATGTCAAACCAATTGTAACAATAAATAATACTGGGAAATAAAAGAGCCTGATTTTGCTGATATTTGCATATAAATCAGGAAGTCATAGAATCATAGAATATCAGAGTTGGAAGGGACCTCAAGAGGTCATCTAGTCCAACCCCCTGCTCAAAGCAGGACCAATTCCCAGCTAAATCATCCCAGCCAGGGCTTTGTCAATGGAACTGGTGTAAAATTGATGTGAGAAACTGATCTCAGAATCTGTATACTGATGATTTTATTAAATATACAGTACAGTTAAAAATAGTTATTGTATAAATACATCCTAACTAAAAATGATTCAATAAGAAAAATATGATAAAAACTGGGACTATAAATCCTACTAAACTCCATTTACTCTGGATTTAACTGAGTATGACTAAAATAAAAATATGGCTCAAACTCTTGCTAATTCTTTGTCCCTTAAATTTTCAAAGTAGGTTACAGGAATCTAGATGCTTGACTCTGACTGATATTATGGGGATCTGTGTGTTACATCCCCACAGCAGCTGGAAAACCTAGGGGCTGGATGTAAAGCTGCCATTAGTGTTTGTGTTCTATAAAATGGATTAACTAACAAAACTAGACATATGTTCATGAAAATCTAAAGTGTCTTTCACAAGTCTCAGGACATAGCACTGCCTCTCTCCAATAGGTAAAAATCTAGGGCCAGATCCTCAGTGTAAACACACTAATTTATAGCTGCTGAGGGGTTCCAATTTTTACAGTACGACTTACCTTTTTTATTTCAACCGTTCTTAATCCTTGTATTTCAGATGATACTGTGAAATGAAAAAAATAAATATATAAAAGGTTGGGTAAGATTTTAAAGGACGCTCTCCATTATAGCCATAAAAACAGTTATAATGATTTTAGCTTTTGCTCTTTTCTTATAGTAACATGCCTGGACATCTGCTCTCATTACATTAACAAGATTGAACTACCTCTGAGATAGGAGGGAATAGGTGTATTTTACACAAAATTAAAAAAAAGATAGCCAATCATTCATTTTCTGAATAATACATATATTCTGGAATAAAGACTGCCAGGTTTATTCAATGAGCAGTTAACAAGACAGACTCAGGGCAATAATGACTTTCTTGTAATTTAAACATGAGAAAATGGTTACTCATCTTTCCTGATTTAATGATACAAAATCTGCTACTGTTACAGATTCACGTGTGGGATGCATGAGATAGTTTAATGGAAGATATACTTACATTTGATGAGAGTCTCTGATTTAACAACTTGCATTCTTACAATACAACATAAGGTATGACAAGCTGCTGCTGTTATGCTTATAAAGGGATATAAAATGATACTTATGTGGGTTGTGGGGCTTTTTTATACAATAATTGCCTTATCAGCATTTTAGACTTGAATTACAAAGGAACTGCTTTTATGCCTACAGTTCAAAATAATATCTAGCACTTCAGACAAACAAAAGATACCTCAGCTACCGATTCACAAACAGGATAATGGGGAGAAGTTTTAGATATAGAATATTAAAGGCACCAAATGAATCTTACTGGCATTCTTCTTAAGACCACTTTCAAAGCCCTCAGATGGGTTGGAACCAGAAGGTGGGAAACTGAATGATGACAGGCTGCCACTTCCTTCACTGACCTAAAATATAACATCACATTGGGATTATACCATAGTCTTCAAACTTCTAGCTTGCCAGAAAATAAAATGACGAGCTCCAGCGCTATTTTACTTCTCTTCTCTTGTGCTTAGTAAGAAATGGTGTACTGTGAGACTAACAATAACTCCTCTATATTCTCAGAACATTCTGGAGGGCTCTCTTAGTTGAAGGTTTGGGGTTGCATAGCTTAAAACTTCCACAACCTTTAGAAAGATTGCTTCTAGGAGCCCAAATTCTGCCCTCAGATTAACTCATGGGACTTCCTATGACTTTGCTGGAGTTTTATGGGTGTAACTGATGACAATCTTCTGACAAAAGTAAAAAAGTGAAGGACAGAGTATAGACATTGACACAGATGATAGGGGAACCCTAACGTATGATTCCATTGCTTCTCTTTTCCCCCTCAATCCACACCATCCATTTGCCTCCAATGTCTGTAACCACATCATCAGCCACGACTATAAAAACACTTTTTCCTCACCATATCCCCTTTGTCTTAAAATCTGCTCTGTAATTCTTGTGATTTGAATTTCTCTACTCAGTTTACATTTCAAATGAAAACACACATTTTTTCCCTAGTCTGTACTCACTTGTTAATTCAGATGCTATATAAATAAAGTTTTGAGGCCAGACTATCCTCTCAGCTATGTGTGCACCTCCCATTAGAACTGACATCAGCTGTGTGTGTACACATATCTGAGGGGACAAGGTGACTGATGATGTGTTACTTTGTGTCATTATTAGACTACAATGGCTTTATAGATTTTTAAAGTAAATATTACTCGTTATATATTTCTACGGGCTTAACAGCCTGGGTTATAGCTTGATTCTGCATTTTCATCTTAGCCAAATTCTGAAGGTTCATATATATTTAAGGAGGACCAAATGGTGCAGTCTTTACTCAATCCTAACTCCTACTGAAAAACGCATCCAGGTCAAATCCTGCAATCTTCACCTCAATCCTAACTAATCTGACCTGAGTTTTTTAGGCTCAGGTCCTTGATGGTCTTTGATGATGAACATTTTAGGCAGAGGCCTTGGTGGTCTGTAAGCCTACTTTTTAGTCAAGGAAATCTTCATAAAAATTCTGAGTCTTTGAAAAATAAAGTTTATAATGAAAACACTGAGGCACATCACCATAGCAGTACAATCTGAACTGTTTAATATTAAGGACACATTCAGACCTCTTTCTCCCCGCCCCTGCATTCTGCCCCAGTATTGGTATAAATAGAAGTGGAGATGACAAAGCACTGCTTAGACATGCTAGGGTATTTACCCTACATGGCTCTCTACATGCCCAAGCAGTGCCTCCCACCTCTACACTACTATTTTTAGTAGTGTAATGTCCCGTTACCTCAGCCCTTCCCCGCAACAGGAAAAGGCTGCAACAGCAGGGAAAGACTCTGGTGGGGGAGGCAGAGAGGAAAGGCACCCGGACCTGCCCGTAGTCAGAACCTTTCCTCCCTGCCAGAGCCTTTCACTGCCCTGTATAGCAACACACTGCAGTGTGGATGCAGCCTGTTTTTCACTGCAGTGTTTAGCTGCACGTACCCCACATGCACCCACAGTGTAGAAAAGGCATCAGATATGGAAACTGATGAAGATCAAACACTTTTTTGTTATGTTAGAATTAATCAGTAGAGCTGATTGGAAAAGCTTGACAAAGACCAAAATTTCCATTTTCTGACTGACTCTATTAACCATTTAAAACTCTGTTGTTTTCTCAACCTTTTCACTGGTTTGCAGCCTTCTATAGGCATATCAGAGCAGTGTGGTAGAAAGCTGAATAAAATACCTAATGGACAATAATTTAGAACGGCAAAGGCATTCTTAAGTTAAGGCCTGACCCAGCAAGAAAGTGAGCACCTTCCAATTCTCACTGATGTCAGTAGGAGTTAGAGTTCTCCGCACCTCCTAGGAGAGGGCCCTAAAATCATGATCAGGCAATGCAGCAAAGAGGTAAACTTTATCCATGGGATAACTTTTGACTGTATGATGCCTTAAACACATAATATGCTAAAGTTAACATACGACATGGTTATGAAAAAGCTGTGAAGTACATAAAAGCTGCTTTTTTTTTTTAAACTCATCCTGGGCTCATTATATGGAAAATCTTTGTCACTGTAAAAAGCAATAAAAGCAAATAAAGGGAATTATTTAACCACGGTTGATTTCTTCCAAACTAAACAGCTTCACAGTTACAAACCTGGCTGCTTTGGGATGTTCTCCTCTCAGAATGGAATGGACCTGCTTTTATTCTTCCAACTTCTAGTCTTACAATACCTAATGAACACTGAAGAACAGGAAATTTATAATGCAGTTCCCAACCGTGAAAGGACCCATTAATGTACTAATATTAAAGGCATATATTAGTTACTGATGATGGAAATAATAAGACTTATGGAAGGTGTATAAACACAGCCTCCAATCCTGCAATGAGCACTGCACAGGTGAAGCTCATTGCAGGATCAGAGCCAGAACATGACAGAATATCAATTATATACTGTGAAATAAAATACAGGGCAGAATATTTGGATTAACAAATGAATATTACAGTTCAGATGCCAAAATTACACTAAGGGCCTAATCCTATTCCTATTCACTTAAATGGGAGTAGCATGTAAAATTCACTTTCAAGATGTAGCTATTCAATAAATAAATATTTTTTTTAAAATCACGAATGTAAAGAATTTTCAAATGCGGGTACCAAAATAGGCCATATAATCTACAGATTAATTCCACATTTACGATAATGTAACTGAGAGCATGGCATTTAAATTGGTATTTAGAAATTTAAAATGGCAACTGAAACTAATATCTACCTTGGATTAACACCAGTGTAACTGAAATGAGGATCTGGAGGGAGATTTTTAATGCACAGATGTGGTGTGAGTGCCCTACTCCTTCAGACTTCCAATGAGAAACTAAATGATTAAATGAAAAAAATCTCTTCTTTGGTGTTTAAGCTTCCAATTGTAGGATTTTGACACACACATTAGATGGCCACAAGGAAACTGATATTACACCAGGAATGAATTTAGTTCACAGAAACGAAGAAAACTTTGAGAGACTGGTGAAAAACACATAACATACATTTAAGCACTAAGATACCAGGATGGTAGGTTCACTATAACAACCTAGACGGACAGACAGATATTACAATGTTGCAGACAGTTGTTTGTAAAAACAACTTTATCTTCGGTGTAAAGGCCTCTATCTGCAGCCTATTTAAATATAGAGATTTCAGTCTTTTGTCACGGTTTTGCTTTTCCTCCTCCTTTCCATTGGGAGTTCACTGTTATAAAATCCTATTTCCATGTAGGCGAGTGTATAGCAATTTGAGAGGATTGCAGAAGTGCCATTATTCTGTTATGGTTTAGCTGTATTACCCTAAGAGAGGCTCACATTTTGGTCAGGAAATCCAAACAGGCCAATGTCTTACACCAGACCTAATTCTAGGACATAGAAAGCAGAGGGTTTCAACACCTTTATAATTAGCATGGTCTGCTGTTAGTTTCTTTTAGTACTGGCAACGTGGAGACAATGATCCCAGAAGCTACACTTTATTTATTTAATAATGATGACATTACAAATGTCTGAGGGTGAACATGGTCAGGGTTTACACCAAAGGCTCCCTACCTCCCAATAGACAGACTCATATTGGCACAAAATAACCACCCCCTCCCCCCGAAAGCATTCTACCTACCCAAAATTATCGTTTTAAAATATATACCTCAAAACCATGAATGTCATTTCAAGGTTATGATGTGGGAAATTGGGAGCCAAGACTTTTCAACATGAGGAAAACATTCAGTTTTACTAAGACAAGTGGTAAATTCGTCTCCCTTTCCCCCACCACACATTTGAAAAATTCACAAGATGGCAACCCAGTAGGCACCTGCCATAGACTACTAAATCATACGAGGGAACAGAATGAGCAGCTCCCTAAACATCTATCTATAATTACAGAAAGGAAAATTACATCATCATGGGAGATTTCAATCTCGGGCACACATGCTGGAGGTTTCATGCTTGGAGAGTCTAAAGATTACAGATGTTAATTTTCTATCATAAGAAGTATTGCAACCAACTCAGGAAATTCTATATTAGACCTCATTCTGATTGATCAGGATGGAACTGATCACTGAATTAAAAACTGATGCTTGCCTATGTGCAAGTGATCATGATCCAATTTCATTTACAACGTGCAAACAGAATATAGTCCATATATAGCTTTAAAAAATCCAATTTCCCAAGCTGAGAACAATTATGACCTAGATGGAGTATGAGGAAATATTTAAACAAACATGTGAATGATAATAGGGAATTTAAGAATGTTTTATGAGATTCACAAAAACCCTACAATTTTGCAAAAATGAACGAAGGCTTCTTTGGTTAAAATACCATCTTGATTGAGAGGGGAGATAAAGGCAGCAATAAAAAAATTGAAAATATATATTAAGAAATGGAAAAATGGGGAAGCTGATAACAATGAGTACAAATCAGCTGTTAGGAAATACAGACAAGTGAAAAGGAAAGTTAAAGGTATCAATGAAAAAAATCTATGGCCAATAGGGTTAAAGATAATCAGAAGGAATTCTTTAAATGTATCAGGAACAAATAAAATTCTAGCAATGGCACAGGACCAATAAACAAGGATGGTCACATTATAAATTATGACCCAGAAAAGGAAGAAGTATTCATTAAATATTTCTCTTCCGTGTTAATAACTTAAAGTGACAATGAAATACTGTCTATTCGTTGGTAGCTAGGGAGGATGTTGAACTCCTATTCAAGTTAAATTATTTTAAATTGGCAAGTTCAGATAACTTGTACTCCAGGGCCACCTGAGATGGGGAGGGAGTGGCAATGGGCCCCAAACAGAGTGGTGTTATGACCTGGTGTACAGGTTTGCAGCTGTTAAAGAACCAAAATGCTGTGCAGGAAAAAGTCAAAAGCAAAGCTCCTCATGGGGCAGAAATTCCAGTTCTCGAACTGTTCTAGTTATGAGGTTATTTCATCATAATGTACAAGTACCTATAACAGGAAGAGATTTCTGATGGACAGCTCTTTAATTTAGCAGAAAAAGATATAGCAAGATCCAGTGGCTGGAAGCTGAAGCTAGGGAAGTGCAGATGAGAAATAAGGGGAACATTTTTAACAGTGAGTGTCCTTAATCATTGGAACAATTTACCTAGGGATGTGGTGGGTTCCCCATCATCTGAAGTCTTTAAAACAAGATGGGATGTTTTTCTAAAAATATGCTACCGTTCAATCAGAAGTTATGGACTTGAGACAGAAATTACTGGGTGAGGTTCTGTGTCCTGCATTATTCAGGAAGTCAGACTAGATGATCTTCTATATTTAAGATATATGAATCTGTGTGCCACCAACATTACTAATTTCACCTAGAAACGTGCATAAGGTAAAACACCAAACCTGTACACCTTTATAGTTGGGAAAGTTCAGATCTGGCTCCAAAGTTCTTCACTACCGCCTCCAGCTCTATGATGGTCTGAAAATGAACCCTGGATCCAACCTGAACTTCAAGGCAGTTTGGCTCCAGATCTAAACTCTGCAGCTTGTTTCCAACTCTGTTTTTACAATTACCTTTAACAAAGCAGCAACAGCCTCCTGGTTAGCATTTCGAACATCTTCTCCATTTACTGTTAATATCTGGTCTCCCTGCATTAGTCTCCCATCTGTATCTGCTATTCCTCCTTTGACGATGTCTGACACAAATACCCCCGTATCATTTCTGCAAAAACACAATTTTATTGTGCTTCAAACGTGTCACTCTTTGTACCATTTCACTATCCTATTGTAATAAGACTTTTGCTTAGAACTGAGAAACTGTTTCCTAGAATTTCTGGCTAGTAAATGTGGGCTAGATCCCACCATTCCACCTTTACTCACATTGAGTAGTACCTTACTTCCTGAGTAATCCCACAAAAAGGGGGCCAAATGGGCCCACTGTAAAATTATAATAACTTTTTATTTTTGTTTTGTTTAAAAAAAGAAACAACTGACATTATTTGACAACATGCTGGCACAGAGCAGATTTACTGATAGGGACAATTTATCTATGGTGGAGGAGTAAAGTTTGGGGAGGGAGAGTTCATCTTTTCATTCCCCTAATCCTGGGGCTGGCTCTGTGGTCCAAGGGTTAGGTTTTGAGCTAGGGTACATCAGTGTAGTTCCATTGACTTCATACCTTTTCCCAACAATACTTAATCCGAGGCCTTTGCCTGGCTTCTTTTGCAGCTCTATATTGAGAACATCATACATATCTTCCTCCTTGTACTGGGCCTCATCCCTGTAGACAGTGAGACGGACTTTTTGGGGTGTCTGTCTGAGAACATTTATTGCTTCATCATGCGTGGCATTCCGGAGGTCAATTCCATTCACCTGCAATGTAACCACATGTTGATTGAGTATTTTCAGGAGTTAAATGACTCATGGGCATTTAAAAGTGATATACACAAGACTGCACCTCTAAAATCTGATCTCCCGCCCAGAGCCTTCCATCTTTGGATGCTGCTCCTTCTTCATATACTTCATGGATAATAATAGCTCCCTGTGGATTAACAATAAAAATACATTGCACACTGAAGAACACCTCTTGTATGCACTGCAACTGGTCCAAGCTTTGGCTTTGAAGAAAGCTTTTGAAAAATCCGAGTACGAGAAGACACGACTGTAACCAGATAACAGCAAACTAAGTAATCAGCAGGCTATAAGAGAACTCAGGTTCTCATTTCTAAAGGGAAAATATCTTTAAATAAGTCACTTGCTTCTGCTTTAAAAAGTGTGATTACAAAAACATTTGTGGTTCAAGCTTAAATCAATTCAGTGCAGCAAATCTCAGACAGACATCGTCTCCAGTCACTTGTTGAAATAATATATTCACCTTCAGAGAAACATTTTCTATTAGGGACTTAAAATTGGTACTGTCATCTCATTATGAAGTATTACTGATTTTTACGAACCAGTAAAGTGTCTGCTCCCCCAACAATGCTCAATCCAAGTCCAGTGCGTCCCTTGGAGATATCAATGGTTGTTTCACATCCTGGGATGATGGGACAAGTAGCTGGGTCAGAGGCTAACGTTGCTGGAGTTGAGGACCTGCTTGTATCTAAACACAGCAATTAAACTGGCTGGTTACAGTGAGTGGCCACAATAACTGAAAAATAAATGAACTTTAAAATAACATTTTGAGAGATCATTGACAGCCTTACAAGAATAGTTGCAAATGGACCCAAAATTCAACCTACCCTAATTACTCATCTGATTTTAAAAATACTCCCAAGAAATAAAATTATACAACCTCTGGCCCTCCCCTTTCTCCAAAAGAAGAGCTGTGCTCTGGTTAAAATCACAACTCCTAATCTTGGTGCCCAACCATCACCAGGTCCATGAGATTGTGGACAAAGATGTGTATATTGCACGTGGCCTTATTTCTTCACTGCTGGGCCACACCCTGCTCTCATACATACAATGTGCAGCCAGTGAAGTTAACAGAAGCTTTGTGCACTTATATGAGGGCAGATTTGGGGCCAATATACCTGCTCCAAAACCAGAAATTCTTATCACAGGTAACAAGTGCCTACTATACTGTAATGTCATGCATGCATGTACACTGTTCCTGATCTTACAAGATACAGTTCCTTATACAGCAATGTACCTGATCAATTAGGGTCACTGCGTGGATTTCCTGGCTTTCCTTTTTGCTTTGAAAAACTTATTAGGGAGGCAGTGTTGCCGAATCATGGAAGTGTAGGGCTGGAAGGGACCTCAAGAGGTCATCTAGTCCAACCCCCTATGCTGAGGCAGGATTAAGTATACCTAGACCAGGGGTCGGCAACGTTTGGCACACAGCTCGCCAGGGTAAGCACCCTGGCAGGCCGGGCCAGTTTATTTACCTGCTGACGCGGCAGGTTCAGCCGCTCACAGCCTCCACTGGCCGCGGATCGCCGTCCCGGGCCAATGGGGGCAGCGGGAAGTGGCACGGGTGAGCGATGTGCTGGCCGCGGCTTCCACTGCCCCCATTGGCCCGGGACGGCGAACCGCGGCCAGTGGGGGCCGCGATTGGCCGAACCTGCCGCGTCAGCAGGTGCTTACCCTGGCGAGCCACGTGCCAAATGTTGCCGACCCCTGACCTAGACAATCCTTGACAGGTGTTTGTCTATGACCAGAGAAGGGGATTAGGAATGAGAGCTTTTGGGTTTTATTTTCACTTATACCACTGATGTGCTGGAGTGCCCACAACCAAGTCATTTAACCAAAGTTTTCAAATTTGGTTGTCTAAAGTTAGGCACATAAATCCTAAATAAATAAAAGGGACCTGATTTTCAGAGGTTCCACTCAAGCAACTAGAGGAAATCTAGAAAAATAAATAAATGTTTATACCAACAAATGCACTCATTTTCATTGTACGCACATAGGGCCAGATTGTTTCACTCAGATCCAGGCCTAGGCTAGTGGTGCTGCTGCAACGTCCACTGCCCCAGGAAAAACAAGAGTATCCAACCGTTCCCTAACATGCAGGGGGAAACGGAGCTCCTGCACAATCCCTTAGGATGGGAGCCAGATGCTTTTCTCTGTCCCTCCTCCCTCCGTACCTGGGCAGTGTGGAGATAGAGTAAGGTCATAGCCCCGTCGCTTTCCTGCTCTACTTAGGTTGCTCACCAACTGTAGGGTACTAGAAGGAAGCAATTTCTGCACTCAGAAAAGCGCAGGGATGCAATTGTGACTGGTCTGGGAGCAGAGGTGCAAGGAAGTGAAGAAAAGCTCTTTGAAGACATTCACAACGCTCTTCATTTTTTATCACTTAGCCCACGGTTAAGACTAGAGACAACAAGAGGGTTCTTACTTTTAATTGTCTCTGGTTCTGGAGACCCAGAAGACGGAATCATCAGCGACTGCTGGATGTTCTTCCACTCGCTTGTGGTAGCACTGCAAAGTGGGGGTGTCGATGTTTGAAGAGATGTTTGATTATCATGTTCAACTGAGTTGATTGTGAGCTTCACTGTGGTCTTGGATGTCTTCAGCAGACTGATAAACTTATTGAATAATAAAAAGAACAGCGAATGATCCAACTGTAACACTTACAGAGGTCAGTCGTAGCAATTACTCCATGATAAGGAGCAAAAAGTCACACATACTTGTTGTTCTTGGAGACGGGAATGAAGAAGATTGATGTTTTGGATGATGTGTTGCAACACAGTTAATTATTGTGGGCCAGATCATTAGCTGGTGTAAATCAGATTAGTTCAACTGACTTCAGTGAAACTATGCCAATTTCTACTGAGGCTATGGCACACAATCTATGTTAGCTTTCCTGGATGCTACACTATACGTTGATAGTTGTTAGAACAAAATCAGAAAACTAGGAGTAAGTACTAATGTTGGTGCAGAGCCCAATATTGCTCCCACTGAAGTAAATGTCAAAACTGATCTCAATAGGAGTAGGAGCAGGCCATACAATGTCTTTGATTAAATGTTTGGTTTTTGGGGGGGAATATGGCACAATTAATATTTGAATTATGGAGCAGAGGAAGGGGATGTTGGAGAGGAAAGCAAGGTGGGGCAAACACAGGGCCTGGTTGTAAGGCCCAGCGGGTCTCGAATGCAGGCCTGCAGAACTGCCAGGCAGCAGACACCTCCATGCTGCCATACTGTGTCAGCTATGACCAGCTCATGCTCAATTACTCACATCCACTGAGGACATAAGACCACAGGAAGTCCCTCCTCAAGGGGTATGACAGGAAGCAGCCTCCTGGCTCCTGATTGGCTCCTCGCCCTATATAACCCCAAGGGGAATCCCAAAAAGAATCCAGGCAACAGCGCAACTCTCCTGTAGCTGCTATAACCATTCCTGCTCCCTGTTTTTGAACTCCAGGCTTTAATCTCAGCTTAATTTGGATCTCGCCTCCTGACCAGATCCCTGAAACCTGACTCAGACTTTGATCTTTGGTATCAACCCCAACCTGGAACTTGACTACGAAATCCTCTGGTATTCAGCCTTAGGTTTGATCCTGCTCTGACCCATGGTCCCAACTTCCCTAGGTCATGATCCTGACAGACATACAGAGCATCTTCCAAATCTCATTGACTTCAAAATTACTTCAGTGAGAGTGGACGGTGCTCAGCACCTCCCAGGATCATGCCTTTAAAGTAGATTTCAAACTGGAACAGTGACTTTGTAAAACTGACACCTTAGGCAACAGATCTGTTCTTTACCCCAAACCACATCTGCTTCCTCTACAGATAACAATGAATTGTACTGCCTGTTAACTCTGCAGAGCCAATATAGCTCTGGGAGAGAGAGATGGATTCTATTCCAGCTGTGCTGTATCAAACAGAATTTGCTAACTCAGTTCTAATTGCAGAATGACTATTACTGGTAACAGAGTCAGAAAGAGCCCAGGTTGACTCCTTACAGAACCCAGGTTGAGTTTGCAGAGCTGGAAATTAGGGGGGGGGGAAATCACCAGTTGAGTTAAATTTTACCTGGAAGCCACAGAGCCAACAAACTCAGAACCCCACAATACCATTTTTACAGTCACTTCTCAGAGTGTCACCACAGTTCAATGATTTGCTGTCAGGAATTATGCTTTCCCAAAGAGAATGATATGCTAATGTAGAATACATCAGTGTTAATGCATGTGGTTCCAGTACTAAGGGACCATCATCTTCTCAGGCTAACATCCACACTCCGGAGCTAAGTCAGAGTATAACCACACAAGATCTCCTGCACAGGTTGCTCTGCAACTTTAGAGGAAGGGTCTGGATTTGTCTCATACAACTGCTATAGTCCTTTTATTCCTAAAGTACCTTTTCTATAGGATAGCCCACAACAGCTTCATCATCCACTGCAAGGATCTGATCCCCAACTCGGATCCGTCCATCCTGGGAAATAAAATTGATCAAAAAAAGATTAATACGGGATTTTTCTTCCTCAATGGTTTACCATCCTCTTTCCCGAATGGGATGTAATTTACAATTCTCACCTTCGCTGCTGCACCATGATCTGTTAGGCTTTTAATAACCACTCCATTAAGTGTGTCTTCTTCACTGATGGCAATACCCAGTCCTCCTTGATCCTGTGGGAATAGGAATGTACAGTCAATAAGGTGCTATATTTATCAAAGTTGAACTACATGTATTCATGTGAGCCTACTGGGGTTTGTAGATGTCATAGAAGTTTGATGTTTCATGAAGTCTCAAAGCTTGAAATAAATATTAAAGACTTATTTGGAAAGGATTCACTTTCTCCAACCCATGAACAGGATAGAGAATCTGAATAAGCTTGAAATGCTTTGAATTCTAACTTGTGACATTCTAAATTTCAATGGATTTTAACTGTGATTCATTTGTGCAATTCTTAAAACAGGAGGAAGCCACACCAAAAGTTTTGAAGCTGTGGAATGATGAAAATAGGGTGCCATACCATAGTTAAACAAATGATACTGCAGACCACAGGAAAAAATATAGAACAGTGGGAAATGTAGAAAAGGGAAAAATACATTCACTTCCAGTGAAAATGTTTAATGTTTTGTGGGGGTGGAGTGAATTTTCCCTGGCTTCCTCACCCACAAACAAATAACTATTTGGATTCTGTTATCTGTAACATCTATTCCCAGTTAGATGGAAAAGACTGGATTGCAATGGTGCATAGAGCCTAACCAGCAACTTTCAAATCTCAGAGCTTTAAGTCTAGTGCATGCAGCTATCTTTTATGAGTTAATAAAAAAAAAGCAACAAACATTTTCCTTCCCTCCTCTGGCAGGTACATATTCAGAAACTACCTTGCTCCTTTCTCCCAGAAGATGCATGATTTCTGGTAGCAAAGTATACATTATTCCTGGGTATGCTGTCCTTGGGATTTGGTGCTTACAGTCTGCTAATTAAGTTACTTGGAACAATTTAGTCAATGATTTCACCTGGACAGTCACAGGTAAGTACTAACCAAACTTTGCTTTGTGCGCTCAATCCAAACAGTTTTGTTTAGGTCAAACAAGTTCACAGAAGGACGGAGATGGTGCAACCCCAAAATGTACCATGGAGGTTCTACCACACTTAGTTTTCCAGTGCAACATAGCTGGCCTTCCTACATCTGTGTCCTGACTCCCTTGCCTACCTTTTCTTGATTGCACTGAGACCTCCAAAATCTCCAGAAGTGTCTGTGCTGGGCCCTTGCTGCTGTTTACTGAAAACTTTGCAGATGAGAGAAGCAGGGCATTATTCCTGAGAAATGCAGCTATGGGACGTGTTAGATTTCAACTATGTGGGGGGAGGGCCTAGCTGAGATGCTGAGGAGGTTCTGGGCCCAACTGCTGCTTTAGGAAGAGTTTTTGGGACAACCTGCAAATAGAATAAAATTGCCAGTGGTCCGTCTCACCCTCCAAGGGAAGGAACAGTCCCTCTGTTTCCAGAGGGACATAATCACAGAAGAGAAACCCTGTGACAATAAACTTGCACTGATATAAATTTAGTTAAAATATAAATTTACCTTGGGGAGTTCCACATGCTGAATATGTTTATATGTATTTAAGTCTATAGCCGTAACAGGATTTGTAGCACTCGGTTCACCCTAAGAGAGGAAGACAATTTAGCAATTTACAACTGTATTTTAAAAACAGGCATTTGGTGTACCCTTAAAAACTGAACAAACGCATGGTGGGTCTGACCCCCCCTCAAGCCAATTTTACATTGGTATAATTTCAATGACTTTCCTGTAGCTACTCCTTATTTACATCGGTGTAAATTGAGAGCAGCATCAGGACCAAAATGTTCATCAGCTATGCTAAAACCCCATTATGTTTTCCACTAGGACTTTTTCTGCGGTAAAATATAACAAATATTAGAGTATTTTTCTCCAGAAAGCTGTTAATCAGCTCAAATAGACTCACACAATGTTTAGATTACCTCTTGATTTTGAGGAGTCTCTGAGGGGGAAGGTGAATGTTCTACTGATTTCCCAGGGCAAACAGCCATCTGAGTCACTGCATCTTTATTTCTGCAATATATTAAAGCATATGCGTGTTAAAGCATCACCATGGTTCTTTTCACAAGTTTAATTTTGCTACCTTCATTTCTTATTTTGTTTTATTTTTAGCAGTCACGATGCAGATCAAAATACAAAAAAGAAAATACATAACCTGTAAAGTCTAAATGTTGGACTTACAGAAGTACATCACCAAAATTACCTGGGTGACAAAACTGTGATATTGGGAAGACTTTTTAAAAAAATTTTTGTATAAAAACAGCTTGTGAAAAAATTCATTTTTAAACATGTTAAAGATTACTATCTCTAGGAAAGACACTTTAAACACTGCTTACCTGATAAAGATGATTTTTACTTTAGATGGTGCACATTTGATTATCGAGGAAGCATTCTGATGAGTTCTTCCATAGAGAATTTGTCCATTGATCTAGATGAAGGAGAATGGCAAATATGGCTCCGAATGTTAATTTCCTTAAATTTTCACCAGCTTAAGTGATCTACAACAAACACTTATCTTCTTTCACCATCACCTGCTAAACATCATTTTGAAAATTTACTCTACAATATACAACACTCTGTTTTCACCCCTCGAGTTCACAACATTCCTCCCAATGCTGGTCTGGCTCTAGACTCCCTCTCTGTGCTGAAAATGTCCTTCTCTAGGTTACAATGGCTTGCCTTTAGGCATATCATTTATTTCCATTTGCCATTGATCACCTCATGACTCAGTAGGCTACCAGTTATAAGTACAAGTAAATGAACTGCCTCTATCCAACAAGACAGTTATTATTATTCATTGACCCTCAAAACAGTGCCCAGAACTGTACAAACAAGGGTTCCCAACCTAAGGCACTGAGAACTGGATCCTCTAACCATTTATGCACGTGTATGATTTTACTTGCTTAAGTAGTTTTATTGAAGCTGAAGGGAATTTTCATATCAGGAAAGTTACTCCTGTGTTTTTGCACGATCAGGCACTCATTTACTCAGACAAGGCAGTTTACAAGCAACACTTGCTGGTAATCACCTGTGGTGAGCTTTTGGAGAGAGAACTGGAGAAGAATCTTAAAAGAAGGATTTGAAGGAGAGTATGGAGGCATGAGGAGAAGGAAGGAATTACAAGCACAGAAGTGGCATTGTAGACCGTACAAAGAGAAGTGTGAGGGGAGGACAGGAGAGGGCTCTGGAGGAGCAAAAGGAGTGAGAATATCATAAGAACGGCCATATTGGGTCAGAGCAAAGGTCCACTTAGCCCAGTATCCTGTCTTCCAACAGTAGCCAATGCCAGGTGCTTCAGGGGGAATGAACACAACAGGTAATCATAAAGTGATTCATCCCACATTGCCCATTCCCAGCTTCTGGCAAACAGAGGCTAGGGACACCATCCCTGCCCATCCTGGCTACTAGCCATTGATGGACCTATCCTCCATGAATTTATCTAGTTCTTTTTTTAACCCTGTTATAGTCTTAGCATTCACAAGATCGGTTGTGGCAGAGAGCCCTCAGTGTCCATTTAGCACTGCAATGAATGAATGAATGAATCCAGCTCTCAGTGCTTTAGGGTGGGAACCTTTGTTTGTACAGTTCTGGGCACTGTTTTGAGGGTCAATGAAAGTTGATCCTGCATGATCAAGCTCTATATGAAAATACATTTTGGTTGATTTGAAAAAGTCCTTCGTAGTGAAAACTGGGCCTCTGCAGCCAGTATGTGAATACCCTCATTTTAGTGGATCCCCACAGTCATGGATCCCATAGCTCTTCCGCTGGTCTGAAAGTGCTTGTTTCTGCATCAGCCTATTCGGAACTGGCACAGTGCCTCTCAGGAGTTGCTGAACCTCCCTGCCCCCACATCCCCTCTCCACTGGCATTCCCCTTTGTATAGCCCCCACCACACAGCTGAAGTGGTGGGGATGGCCTTGCCAATTCTGTGCAACAGGCAGAATGTCACCCTACACCAAAAGGAAAAGGAGTGCAAAAGTTATAAGAAAGCAACTGCTGCAAGTGCCATCTATTGAACTGAGACAGTATTTAAAAAAAAAAAAGCTTTACACGTTAGACAAAAAAATAAATAAATAGTGGTTTAGAATGAGGATCCTGTCTGTGCAATGAGGGTCCTGACATCACTGGATACCATGTGAAAGCAGCCTGAATAGACTATTAAATCATTAAAGCCCAAGATATAAATACAGCTGTTCCAGATTTCTTTTTTCCTTTTCATGTCATGTGACAGATGTATAAACAATACAGACAGAGGCAGACAGAGCTGTAACGAGAATGGCCTGCAGCAGTCCACAGAATCTAGTGGGAGAATCTCAGAAGGACTATCACTGTATGACACAGTATTTTTCTTAGTTCACAAACTAATTCCTCCTTCCCACCCGGCCCCATGATGCCAAAGCTGCATTCTTCACTTATTGTATATAAAATTTTATGCAGTAGTGGTCTGACTGAAGAAAAAAAAAAACTCCCAACCTCAACCAGCAGGCACATACCAGAATGAAAATGTGAATTCAAAGAAATAAATTTTGGTATTACAAGGCTATATAGTTAACTCAAAGCTATATATTGCACCAAGAAACTACCACTCTACTGCCTTTATAGTCAACATGTTTGCTTTTAAGTACAATTGCTAGAAACTTACCTCTAGTAACTCATCTGCAATCTGTAACCTTCCATCTTTTCCAGCTGCCCCATTTGGATCAATTCCCACTATGAAGACACTCATCCTGGACCGGTCTTTGTTGCCAGCAAGGCTAAGTCCCAAACCAGTCCTTCCTTTTTCCAGCTCTATCATGTGCAGGTCCCCTGGTAGAGTTCCATAACGCTGTGTGATCTTTTCTAAATATAAGGGGGAGAAAAGGTGGGGGCAGAAGGGCTTGAATTCATATTAGAACACTTTACAAGTCATCCAGCTAATCAGCTTTAGTGCGCAACAGGCATTATCCAACAGCAGAATCCCTGCATCACTGAAGCAGCACAAACGACTCCCTTTTTCAGCTAAAACTAATGTCACTTGTAACAATGCTTCCAGTTGCTTGGGGGCTGGGTTTAATATGAAAATTTTAAATTCTTTTCTTTGGGTTTCTTCCCTGATCCCAATAAATAAAACATCTTTCACATGGATACATGGCTGGTGAGACAAAGGCAGCTGGGAGACTAAGAGAGTTAGCCATTTGAGCTCCTCATCAAAGGAAAGCATCTTTTCCCCCCTTAACTTGTAGGTACTCTGCAAGAAAGAATCTTCAATGGCAGGAAAACACTGCAAACACCATTGCTAGCTCTTCCTCGGCCTGTACCTGTGGGATCCCCGCCCAGACAGGCATCCAGATCTTGTAGGCTTCCACTCAGCTCATGGTCTTGACTTGCTGGGAATGCAGCCTGCACATCCTTGCTGAAGAAAGCCAGGAAGGGAGAACCCCTCCCGCCCAGTACAAGAGGCATCTGTTGATGGCGTCCCTCAGGAAGCAGGTAAGAGAGCTGCAGGAGGTGTGGCTCAGTTGCCGGAGCACAAGGACATACTGTCAGGATGCACATGAAGACGTCCAGGATGGATGATGCAGCCAGCTGGAACAGAATACAGCACCACCAGAGGAAGAAGGAGAACCAGATGCTCTGGGGAGGGGGGAGGAGGGTAGAGATTGGCTGCTAGCCAGCTTGGGCAGCAGAAAGTTGAGGTCCATTGAGGTCAAGAAGTTCCATTTTGAGGTCAAGAAGTGGTATGCTGTACGGAAAACAGGAGATGAGCAGGCCCCAATGGCTGAGGAAGAGGAGCCAACTCATCCCAAGGCTGGGAGGTTCACGGCCACCACACCCAAGAGAAGGAGATAAAGGGGGCTGATGGTCAGGGACTCCCTTCTGAGGGAGATGGAGGCATCCATCTTCTGACCTGATGTCCCAAGAGATGTGCTGCCTGACTGGAGCCCATGTCTGAGACTTTGTGGAAAGGCTGCCGAGGCTCTGGCCCTCTGACAACTATCCCATGCTGCTCACTAATGTGAACATTGATGATACCGACAGGTATGACTGAGCAGATCAGCATAAATGGGGGGAAATGGTCAACATCATGGTAGGGGTCCAATAGAGACCACCAAATCAGAAGGAGATGAATGAGAGATTTCTAGAACTACCAACAGAAATATCCAAACCACAAGCCCTGTAATAATAGGGGAATGTAACTACAGAAATATCTGTTTGAAAGGTAATCCAGCAAAGGCAAAAACGTTCAGTAAATTCTTAGAACATACTGGGGACAACTTCTTGTTGCAGTAGGTGGTGGACGTAGCCAGAGGGCAACCATGTTAGACTTGTTTCTTATTAACAGGGATTAATTAGCTGTGAATCTGAAGCTGGAAGCCAATTTGGGTGAAAGTGAACGTGGAATGATAGAATTCATGAGTCTAAGGCATGAGCGCAGCAGTACAAAGATTTGATCAAATTCAGAGAACTGGTAGGTAAAGTTCCAGGGGAAGAAAAACTAAAGCAAAAAGGAGTTCAGGAGAGCTGACAGTTTCTCAGAGACAACATTAAAGTCACAAGTGCAAACTTTTCCAGTATGAAGGAAAGATAGAAAGAACAGTACAAGGTCAACATCAGAAGTTCTTTAACAATCTGAAAATAAAAAAGGAATCCAGAAAAAGTGGAAACGTGTGTTCATCCTTAGCAATTTTTCCAAAAGACTTGCACAAGGATGTAGGGACAAAATCAGCAAGGCTAAAACACAAAATGTATAGACATAAAATGCAAAAAGATGACCTATAAAAGCATTAAAAACAAGAGAAAGAGGAAGGAAAATGCATGTCCACTACTGAGTGGGGAAGGAGAGCTAATAATGGATGACATCAAGATGGCTGAGTTGCTTACTGCCTAGTTTGCTTCAACCTTTACTAAAAAGGTTAATTATGGCCAGATATTTAATGCAATTAATATTAACAATAAAGGAGAAGGAACACAAGCCTGGATGAGAAAAGAACAGGTTAAAAAGTATTTAATGATGTATTCAAGTCAGCAGGGCCTGATGAAATTCACCTTAGGATGCTTAAGGTACTAGCTGAAGCAATCTTGGAACCATTAACAACTATCTTTGAGACCTGGAGGACAGGTGAGGTCCCAGAGGACTGGAGAAGGGCAAACACAGTACCTATCTTTTAAAAGGGAAACAAAGGGGATCCAGGGAATTATAAACCAACCCGTCCAACTTTGATACCTGGAAAGATTCTGGAACAAATTATTAAACATTTGTACGTATGTATAGGATAACAGGGTAATAAGTAACAACCAACATGGATTTGTCAAGAATGAATCTTGCCAAACCAATCTCATTTCCATCTTTAACAGGGTTACTAGCCTGTTGGGGGTGAAGCTGTAGATGTGATAGATCTTGATTTTAGTAAGGCTTTTGATAGTCCCAAATGACACTCACATAAGCAAACTAGGGAAATCTGATCTAGATGAAACTACTACCAAGGTACATTCATAACTGGTTGAAAGACCATATCAAAGCATAATTATTAATGGTTCACTGTCAAATTGGGAGGGTCTCGCAGGGGTCTGTCCTGAAACCAGTACTGTTCAATATTTTCATTCATGACTTTGATAATGGGGTGGACTGTATGCATATAAAATTTGTGGATGATGCCAAGCCTTGAGGGATCACAAGCATTTTGGAGGACAGGATTAGAATTCAAAATTACCATGACAAACTGGAGAACTAATCTGAAATCAACAAGATGAAATTCAATAAAGATGAGCGAAGAACTTCACTTAGGAAGGGAAAATCAGATGCACAAATACAAACTGGGGAATAACTGGCTAGGTGCTACTGAAAAAGATTTGAGGTTATAGTTAGGGCCCTACCAAATTCACGCCATGAAAAACACATCATGGACTGTGAAATCTGGTCTCCCCCTGTGAAATCTGGTCTTTTGTGTGCTTTTACCCTACACTATACAGATTTCACAGGGGAGACCAGGGTTTCTCAAATTGGGGGTCCTGACACAAAAAAGATTTGCAGGGGGGTCGCAAGGTTATATTTGGGGGGGGTCACACCAGTAGCAGCGCAGAAGTAAGGGTGGCAATACCATACTATGTGGCCCTTACTGCTGCACTGCTGCCTTCAAAGCTGAGTGGCCGGAGAGTGGCGGCTGCTGACTGAGGGCCCAGCTCTACAGGCAGCAGCGCAAAAGTAAGGGTGGCAATACCATACCATGTCATCCTTAATTCTGCGCTGCTGCTGGCAGCCGCTCTGCCTTCAGAGCTGAGCTCCCAGCCAGCAGCTGCCCTTCTCCAGCTGCCCAGCTCTGAAGGCAGCACTGCCACCAGCAGCAGTGCAGAAGTAAGGGTAGTTGTACCACAATCCCCCCTACAATAACTTGCAACCCCCCCCCAACTCCTTGTGGGGCAAGGACCCCTACAATTACAACACCGTGAAATTTCAGATTTAAATAGGTGAAATCATTCAATTTATTATTTTTTAAATCCTATGACTGTGAAATTGACCAAAATGGACAGTGAATTTGGTAGGGCCTTAGTTATAGTGGATCACAAAATGAATATGAGCCAACAATGTAATACAGTTGCAAAAAAGGGTAATATTTTGGGGTGTCATATGTAAGACACTGGAGGCAATTGTCCCACTGTAAGTGGCACTGATGAGGCCTCAGCTGGAGTACTGTAATCAGTTCTGGGTACCATACTTTAGGAAAGTTGTGAACAAACTGGAGTTTGTCCAGAGAACAACAAAAATGATAGAAGATTTATAAAACCTTACTTACAAGGAAAGGTTGAAAAGAAGGGAACGTTTTGAGGGGGGAGCTGATAACAGGTCTTCAAATATGTTGAGGGCTGTTAAAAGAGGACGGTGATAAATTGTTCTCCATGTCCAAGTAAGGACACGTAGGAGAGTAATCGCCTTAATTTGTAGCAAGGGAGATTGAGGTAAGATATTAGGAAAACATTCTAACTATAAGAGTAGTTAAACATTGGAGATAGGCTTCTAAGGGAGGGTGTGGTATCCTCATTGCTGGACGTTCTTAAGATCAGGTTAGACGAACACCTCTCACAGATGGTATGGCAAGGTGTGCCTAGCCCTTCATGTCCCCTGAGGTCCTGCTACTCCCACCCCAGAAAGGAGCAGTGAAGATGGATCCTCCAGGCCTGCCTAGAAAGGCTGCACAGAAGCAGCCAATGAGAGCCCAGCAGGCTCAGATAAAAGGAGCTGCAAGGTCTGAACCAGTCAGTCCCTGGCTAGGGCCAGAGGGGCAAGGAAAGTGCCCCACTCTAGAGCCCTGCAGCAGGACTGGAATCCCGCAGGACCGCTGCCATAATAGCGGGAGTGGGATTGAAAAAAAAAATCCCATGCAGGGCTCTACTCCACTCTGGTCAAAAGAGCTTAATGGGCTGCATTTGCTAGGAGCTCTAGCCTTAAGGTATTGAGCAGAGGTAAAAACGAGACCGGATGGGAAGAGGCCCAGGGAACATAGCAGCAACCAACCAAGGAAGCAGTAAGTGGCTGCTGTTTATAGGGTTCATAGGTTGGGACCTGGAGTAGTCAACAGGCCCAAGTTTCCCCACCAGCCACTGGGAAAGTGACCTAAGGCCTGAAAAGGGAACAAGGCTTGGTTAGACGACCGAGTGAAGGGCGGGACTTAAAGGGCTGAAGACCCTAGTGAGGGCTGACATTTTGTTGAACTCTTTGCTACTCTGGAAGGGGTTCATCCATTTTGACTCTGTGACCTAGCTGGAGGGCTGAGTCACTGAAGACCTGCCTAGCAAAGTCAACAACCTACAACAGGTGCCCAGGAGCAGGAAAAGACCCGAAGTATCAGAGGGCAGTCAAGATGTGAGTGTCCCCCATTACAGATGATCTAGGTATACTTGGTACTCACTCAATGTGGGGGAATGGACTAGGCAACCTCTCGAGGTCCCTTCCATTCCCAAATTTCTAGGAGTCTTTGGTTTCCCCTCCTCCCCCCGAAGATTTTTTCTAAAAGCACTAGTCCCCCTATCTGCCCATGCACACCTACATTTTAACTGCAGGTGAGATTATATTCAGATAACAGAACTGTATATGCGATTACCACGGGTGACATATACTACATCAAAACTGTTATTGCGGTTCATTATGTGCAGGGTAGAACCTACATTTACCAGGACCAGCACGAAAACTGAATGCACAGAACAAGGGCAAATGATTTTGTGTTTCAAGAAAGTGCAGCTGTCCAAGCAAAAGTGAAAGCTGAAAATAACATTTTATACCCAGACAGATGAAAATGAAGGCGTTCAACTTGCGCTCCAACCTACTCCACATCATTTCTATTTCAATGCTGAGCATTTCAAATAGCACAAAAAATAAACTTACTCCAGCTGTAACCAAACTCATCATCATCTTCCACATCCTCTTCAATTTTGCTGGAAGATGATTGTGCAATTTCACAGCTCATTCCTGAAAATGCTGAAGGAGGGGGCAGAGGCAAGTTACTAAATGAAGTCTTTTCTGGCTCTGAATCTGACTGACTGGATGCCTGTGGAGAACAAGAAGAATGCTGTGGCTAAATATATGGAGACTCTAGAGCAGGGCAATCTAGTACATGAAAATATAAAAACGGCAATGACTATGGCTTTGAAATTTAAATACCAAGCACCAGGAATTCTAAACAAAGCACATAGCATAGAGAGGCATCAGGATATCAGAGATGTAAAGAACACTAGGCAAGAAGGAGTAAGACTCCAAATGTATTTTTAAGCAAACAGAACTGACATTAAAAGCCCAATTCAGTGAAGTTTTGTGTGTTGCTTTTTTGCCTGAGAAACAACCTTGTGTGAAAACTGAATTGAATTTTTTCAATATCCAATTTGCACAGATTTTCTTTTTATATCTAAAGAAAAAACTGAGTCACTAAACAATTTCTTCTGCTATAATTTTGTATATATACAAACAGGGGAGAGATGGAGGAATGGAGTTAAGGTAGCTTTGAAGAATCTTGTAAAAAGAATATTTAGTTGAAATGTTGGTAGAAAGGCCTATTTAAAAAAAAATACTGTGAAGAACACAAGAATACCTTCTTCCAAGTCCTTTACTTGTCTTCTATACAACCTATGAATAGTCATGTCAAAATGGAGAAAGATTTCGCCATAAAAAGGGGGGGGACTTACTCTTGGTCTTGTGATTCATTTCTATTAAAAAATAAAAACAAAACTATATGCACACAAATTACTACTGCAAATCATGGTCAGATCCTCAACTCCTTAGTCTGGCAAAACGCCCATTATACAGTCAGATTGCTTGAGGGAAATGTGATCAAAAACTGTATGATTTGGCTCCATCTTTTTAACATGTATCATTTTTATGTATTTGGCACTGTGATCAATAGTAAACAATAGGCCATGAAGGCTTGGTAATTGATAAGTCAGGTGATGAGACTCAGCGACTGATAGATGTCCTATGAAAAATAGTACCATTTTACAGAACTGAAATTTGCAGGTACTGTATTGACTTCTTCCAGCTTTTACCTTCCTCGCTTCAGCTTTAAGAATCTGATTCTAGTGGGAAGTGAGAGAATAACATCTCCGATGGTGTTGCTAGGGGGTCAAAAATTTTAATACACCTTCTTCAGAGCCAACATGAGAATTCTATTAAGCCTCCCCACCCTGAAGGATTTCAAAGATAGGAATCCATCGGTGCCTGTAGCAGGGTGGTTACCCTGCTCCAGTCCTGGGAGAGGGCTGTGGACGGGGAAAAGCTGGGCTGATTGGGAAAGCAGCCACTGCTGTAGCCAGTGCAATCAGGGCCCAGCTGGCCCTTATAAGAGGGCAATGGGCCAGAAGGAGACACTCTCTCTCTAGCCTCTTGGCTGCATGGGAAGCTGAGGAGGTTACCTAGAGTGGAGCAGTGCTGGGGAAGAGCAGAGGGAACTGGGGAGCTCCAGCCCAGCTAAGCCCCAGGCTGCAGGCTGAGTTAAGGGCCCACAAAAGGTTACTAGGGCTGCAGAGGGACAGCTCAGGAAAAGGCAGAGGCAGCTGGTCCAACCCCCTTGCGGATGATGAGTGGTTTACAGACTGCAGTCCGCCCCAGTGAGCGGGGGCTAAATGGAGACTGGCAGTAGCCACTGAGGTGGGGATAGGGTGTTGGGAGTTCCTCTGGGAGGGGAGACCCAGAGTGAGGGGATACTGTTATGGGTAGAACCCCTGGGCAAAGGGCACCGGGGTCTGGGAAGGACACGGGGCCAGCGGCAGGCGAGGCAACGGCCCGCAGAGGGCACTACGGGCTGGAAAGAGCTAATTCCCTGGATGACCAGCAGCCGGTGAGTCATCGCCCCGCCACAGTGCCACACTCAGATAACATCCTTTCCGCTGAAAAGACTAAAAATCTACTCACTTATTCTTATGAAGATCCGGGAAAATGCCAATTGTCCAGAGGAAACAAACTACCTTCTTTCTCTCCCCATCCAAACGTGTAAAGAAAATGCTAATGTCTCATTTGAGCCCCCAAATTCCTCTGCTGCTTGTATGAGCTTCTTTCTCCTCTCATTCTAGGAGCTTTTCAAAGAAGTCATGAAATACTATGAAGAAGGCTGAATACGTGTTAACTAAAAATATCATTGGGGTCTAAAATGGTATCTGTTTAAACGCCTTCACATTAGGTACCACACACACTTAGAACAACAAGACAGATGCTGGTGGCTGACAGAATGGTGCAAAAAACTCAGTCTTACACAAGCGAGTACTGCTATACACAACCCTCCCTTGGCACTTGGAGCTTTAAGTGAATGTGAGGCATATGAATAGTTTTGAACCCATTGTGCAGAAAGCATCTGAAAGTTCAGAGCAACCTGCTGAAATTCCTAAATGCCAGCTGGGATGATGTAGGGTATTAGATTAGTCTTTATGAAAACTGAGATACTTACTAAACCTAAATTGTGGGAGCACTCTCTGAAAAACTCAGACACTGATGTGGACAGGGAGGGTGATGTTTCATAAATCACACTTATTGCGAAACAGTTCCTAAACTTCAGAATCAGCGTCGGGTGGTAGCAAAAGCACACATTAGCATTCATGCTGTACTTTTATGCTTAAAATGCATATTCCTAACTGAAAAATGTTATGCATCCGATGAAGTGGGCTGTAGCCCACGAAAGCTTATGCTCAAATAAATTTGTTAGTCTCTAAGGTGCCACAAGTACTCCTGTTCTTTTTGAAAAAAGTAAGTAGCAGAATGTTACCTCAAGGTGAGGGTAGAGGAGTTCCAGAAATTCAATAAGCACTTCCTATATATTCACTGGAGGCCATATAACCTTAAATTAATGCAGGTGTTTGTGTGGGGGGAGTGGAAGGGGGGGTGTCTACACAAAGATTAGGGAAGGACATGAACCAACTGATTCAGTGTAGTTTACAATTACTAACTCAAAGTAATGCATCATTTTAGTCTTGTTCTTTGTGAGCAATGGAAGTGCCTAAAATGTTGCAGTACTGAAGGCAATGATCAGGACAACAATAAGATGGTTTGCTATCCAGTAGCTCTGGAAGGACGGGTGTATCTCTGTATGTACGAATGAAATTCCAGTGGATTTATCATTAAAAGAAAGCCCCAAGTGCCATATATTGATGGACAAGGAACGTTTCCTTATGTCTCGCTATATGTACATGTATAAACTCTGTTTTAAGTTCAAGCAAATGCTGATATGAAAGCAGATGAATGCTTGAAGTCTCCTCTGCAAGCAAAGAGTAAAACAAATAAGGTCCTAACAATTAAAAACGTACAGGACCAAATTCTGTCTTCCAAAGTCATTGGAAATATGCATGCATCTTCGAGGACAGAATCTGGCCCTTTTATTTACACACAAGACTTTTGTTCTCTGAATTGGGCCCTATACAAAAGGTAAAAATATTTTGACTCATGACATACCGAAATGCAAACATCTAACAACACATGGAGCCTTTTGGCTACCCATGTGGCTCTGGTCACAACCAAGCATGTATTTATAAGGGCAGTGAATGGACAGCAGTATCACTTTCAATGTAGCAGATCCATTTGGAAGGAACATCGGTACTTTCCGAAATTACCACATGCCACGTACAAACAGGCATAAACAAAACACAGCACAAAAAGGATGTGTGACACAATCACAAGTTACTGTAACTTTCACATGGAGACAAACCTTAAATGGTGTGGGGGCAAAAGGGTTAGTTGGGGAACAATGGAAGGCAACCCTAACAGGATTCTGCACATCCTACAGTAACAGAAAACAGCAATCCATATATTACAGTACCTTTGACAATATGTAGCATTAGCAATGGGAACTAATGTTTTAAAGTGACAGGTATTTTGTAAACTGCAGTAAATTCACACATTTTATTTAAAAATGGACAAAATTGCTTACATGACCTAATTAACCCCTGATTCAGCAAGGTATCTTACTGAATCAGGGCCTTCATAATTTTCTCCACAAAAATCTGGCAGAAAAAGCAAAAAGATGGCCACGGGGGTAGGGTTCAGATGGGGGTGGCAGGTGGTTTTGACTTTTCTAATATTTGCAAGAACATACGTTTTTGCATGAAATTATGTGCAACATAATTTTTTTGGTAACAACTGCTTATTTAGAAATTATACACAATTACCTCTGTTACACTTCTATTCTCCTTACCTCAGAACTATAAGTGTGGGCACAGATTTCAAAAACATACATATGCAGTTATACAGACAGTCCATGCTCTTTATACATTTTGAGACTGTTACGAGATTAAGGGAAAAATACAAAAAATGAGGAAGCACGGATTTATAGCTGAATTCATCCCCCAGATGCATGAGGAACTACAAGTGACTGTGCAAAATCAGAGCTGTGTGCATGTACATGCAGATAGGATTTAGTCTTTAATTAGGGATGCGTTAGAGGTCTAGTCTCTCCCTGTACATGGATAACTTGCATTAGCACCAATCACGAGGAGAAGAATCTAACTTTTCTAAATTTCCAAAAAATGTTGGCACCCTGCTGGTGGTACAGTGCAAGAAATTCCAAAAAAAAATCAAAAAAGTTGTCACCATCTTACAATGTGAGGTATTGACACATTGTTCATGGCAAAAATAAAGTAGGAAACTCCTAACCATACACATACAGAGAAAGGACCGACATACAAACAACTGATAACAAAATACCTCTGTCCTTGAGAAAAGCCATTTCACATTAGGCTGAGATTTTCAAAATTACCAAACTCCTCTAGGGGGCTCTGAAAATCTCAGTCCTAGAGCTTATGATTATGTAGCTGGCATTTGTACAATACTTCTACACATTCTTATTTATCATGGAGAATTTCCATCCTCACCAGCACAGTATTTTACCCAAATGTGGTACAAATACAAACAGAGAAAGACACACAAGTGATGCAGAAGCACATAAATAACGTTCGGTGAACCAATAAAGACAATCAGATGTCATCCAACCTTGTTAGTGTTGAACTGAGGAGAATCAGCAAATGGATTAGTGCTGCTGATGGTACCAGGCCCATAGAAAAGGTTGTGCTGCGTGAAAGGCAGCTAAAAAGAAAACAAAAGGAACTAAACAACAAAGAAGGTAGGTTTAAAATAAAACCTCGTGGCTTATAGAACAGTCCACAAGGTTTCTTGTGTTAAGTAAACAATGCCCATTTCACATGCTATGCTAAAGACATCTGAGAGTGAAGGCAGGCAAGGCTGTACATTTACATTTGCTTCATACACACTGGTGACATTAAATGATAGGTAGAAAAACAGTCTACCAGTTTTATCCTCCCCATATGTTATGGCCCTCTTCCCTCATTCTATAGGAAGTATGAAGCTAATATTTCCTTTCCACTATTACATATAGCGAGGATTTCTAAAGGCACAAACAGCAGTCAGGCACCCAACTCCCACTGAAAGCCAACAGGAATTAGGCATATAAGTGCCATTTGTACCTCCAAAAATCTCCCCCTATAGTCTTTTGATCCAATCCTCATGGTCCTTACTTAGGTAAAACTCCCATTGATATAAATGGCAGCTTTTTTGCTAAATAAGGAATTCAGAATTTGTATACATAGCATAAAAGCACATTCATACACATACTAAGTGTCTTAAAATTTCATGAGTGAGAAGATGAAAAATGTGCCTTCTTTCATTATTATCTGATGACAGCCAAATGCTTCAGTGGATCTGTATTGGAATGTCACTAATTCGCATTTATGACCTGGATACAAATTCTGCAAATCAGGAAAAGAACAAACATAAGAACAATTTTAGGAAAAATGTAGTGCAAAATTTAGTTTGTGCTTTTATTTTGACAAGTAAACAGCAGCATACTAATAAATGGGCAGCAGGATATTTTGCAGAAGTAATTAAGTTTAGTAATACAGGATCTTATTATAGCATATTGTATTAAATATATGCAGCTAAGTGGGAGGGGCCACTTTTTTAGTAAGCTTTATTGGGTTTATGGCTTAACAAAATAAGAATTAGCTGGCTTTTCCTGAGACAATACTAGTTACTTTTCTCTTCTCATTTACCATCAACATTTTTAACCTTTGTTTTATGCCATTGATGCAGTTCTCGTACTGTATTGTAGGACCAGAACTGTTTTGAAACAAACGTGCTCACGTAAAAGAAAGAGGCAAACACTCTGATGTTCTATAGTAGATAGGAGTGTCCTAAATTCATGCAAATAAATTCTACAAGGGAACCTGCTGCTATGCTGGCCAAAATTCTTTGCAGCTATGAGTTTAACACTGGTGGAAAACAGGCAGCACAGTGCTTAGAAAGGAATGCCTCTTGTATCACAGTTACATAATCTACACATGCTTAAGTAGTGGGTAAAAGGAAAAGTGCAAACTTTAGCACTGATAAAGGAAAAATGATAAAAAACAGCAGGAGAATTTTCAGGGGGAAAAATACATCAAAAATCACTATTCTCTGGGCCTGTCTGCACAGTGGAGTAATGAACCTTATGGGGTGTGACTTCTGAAGTGCACTAACATGTTGCACATTAATTGCTCCATATAGAGCTTGCTGCTGCACAAGGTTCTCTACCCCCTCTGATGCACTAACGGTGTGTACTGCTGCTCTGTACAGAAAAGCCCTTTATCTTACTGTGTAAAGAAATCTCTGAACCAGCTAAAACATTTGCTATTAAAAAAACCCACTTAAAATTGGAAAATTCATTGTTCAATATTCATTTTCAGGCATCAGTTTACCAAATAAAATTGATCTAATTTGCCAATGTAACATTTCTTGGATCTACAGTATTTTACAGTTTGAAAGGCAGAGCGATGTTAAGACAAGGGATCCATTGTGACAACGCCACTCAAACTCGACAGAGAACATTTTCCCTATGAGAAGAATTTCTGTTTACACACGCAATGTCTTCTAAGTACTATTTGTGAAATGAATGTTCCTATGTAACAATCAGATTTGCCACCTGCATTAAGAGTGTAAACTATCTTGACGGAGTGTTATATAAATAAAATTATTTTGTGCATAAATACTCAAGCTCTAATATTAACACAGAAAATCAATCCCCAACCATTCATATTTGTGCCTAGATACTTCGCACATAATGATTTGTCAACTAAAAGACACTGGCTGCCCTGACTTCTATCCCATGCCACTGTGTTAAAGTTATTGAGACAGTGCAAAGGATAAGTCAGGACACTGTTTAGAGAATTACCTTCCATTTCATGTAATCTAAAAAAAGACTGTTGTCAACAATACCATTGTGCAAGAAAGAATACATCTACATAGCACAACGGAAGGAACCACTATCATAAAAAGTATTTAGTTACTTGAACAAACAAAGCATTCAAAAAATGCATAAGGGTGAAACCCTGCAATGTGGCTGGAGATACACTCATCTCAATTGGTAATTCTTATTTAAAAATAACCAGAGCAGAGTCATTATGTATCACAGATGTGGCGCATAACTGCTTGCATGGAGAACTACTAAATTTGTTTCCAGCAGACAACACAGCCCATTCATATTATCTGGGCCACACTCTAATCTCCATGTACAGTGTCTTGAAGAAAAAATCTGACTCTCTTGAAACAGTCATTTTTAGTAGATGTGTTGTCGCACCATATTAAAGATTGTTATTGTCTGCATGCAGCTAGCTGTCTGGATGAGTACACATGAACGAAGACTGGAAATTCCCTTGTAGGTTCTTACTATATGTACAGATCTAAGTTTCAAAACATTAAGATAGTAAAAAGTGTTGTTTTAAAAATTATATCACAAAGCATGTGCAATGCCTTGCTTTACATACAAAAGTATGGATATTTTAATAAACAGTCAATTTTAAAATACAGTAAAGCTAGTTAGGGGGTAGAGAAACCAAACAAGGAAAATTGTAATTTTAAAAATTCCTGAAGTAACACTCATATATACACAAAAAGTCATCTGTGATGAAGTAAAAGCATCACTCTCATCCTAAACATTCATTAAACAACATGAATCTTGCCCATATCATAGCAAATGCACAATCCTCATTTTAGCATTCTGAGTATCAATAGCCGACATTCAGGAAAGCTATTCCATGCAACGTTACCTGAGATGACTGATGATAAAATGGGTTAGTAGGTTTCTGCCCACTGAGAGCAGAGGCTGATGAAGAGCTATTGAGAGATTCTGGCTGGGAAACAAAAGTTATGAGACAACTAGTAAACAAACATGCAGATTACATAGAATCTACAATGAGGAAGTTTAGTTTCAGGTGATGCAAGCTACTATTTTAAAACTTATTAGCTTGTGTTTGCATTGTCCATGCAGCTTAATGAAGGAAAAATTCTCTTTGTGTACTTCTAGGTTCTTTCATTAATGCTCACTTAATATAACAACAATTGTTGCCATATATTTTGCATGCACTTGGACACAATATCACTCTCTAAGACTTGTTTTTAGATAGGCTCCTTCCCTTCTCCTCAACAAACAATTTTGGAGGCTTTTCAAAATACTTTGAAGTGAGCATACTATAGGTAAATTCCAATTCCAAATCAATTTAATTCTAAATGGAAATATTATCATCAAACCTTTGTTCCTATAATGATCTGGTTGAGATGGAACCTGCAGGATTAAATATCTCTCCCCCACCCCAAAAATAATATCAGCTTGGACATTTATTTAAACTATCACTATTTTTGGTCTCTTTTTCACATTTAAGATGCTTACCCTTGGTCTGTTTATAATGCTCTGTACCATAAAGACTACAGGGTTGCCTGCCTTCCGTATGGCTTCCACAGCTTGTTCATGGCTTGCGTCTCTGAGGTCAATTCCATCCACCTGAAAATTGGAAGGCCTCAGCTTAACATTACACAAAGCTTAAAGTATAATGAAGCAACTTCTAAGATTTTGATTTTGGATCCTCTATTGCAGCCTGAGCCAAAGGCCTCTACACTCAGCAGAATGATCCCCATTGACTTCAACATATGTTGAATCAGGCCCTTAGGCTCCAACAACGTACAGACTGGATTTTCAAAAGGCATCTAAGAGCTTATCTACATAGCACAGCAATGTGAATTCTAAAATGCACCAACATGCTATGCACTAACTGGTCCTCGTAGACCCCGCTGGTGCACACTAAAAGTTCCATAGTGAATATTAACTTAGGGTGTGTCCACATTGGCAAGTTTCTGAGCAACAAGTTATACCACTTTTATTAGAGCGCTGGAATTAATAAACCGCTGTTGCGTGTCCACACTGTGCTCCTTGTGACGGTGGAGCGCATCCACATTAGCAGCTCTTGCAACGGCGAAGAGAGCAGTGCACTGTGGTAGCTATCCCACTGTGCAACTGGCTGCAGGGTGCTTTGGGAAGGGTTTGCAATGCCTCATGTGGCAGGCACAGCGTCACATGATGCAGGTTTCCCAATCCCATTGTTCCATGGGCATTCTACCACATTGCCAACTGCTTTTCAGCGCTCTGCACAGCAATCCGTCTCTCCCTCTCTGTCTCTCTCTCATACACACCTGCCTCTGTGTTCAACAGCAGGAGTATTCCACATTAATGGTTTGTTTTGTGTCCCAGAGCAGATCAGCACAGCACGCAATGGCTGTCAGAAAGGGAGCTTTGAAAGGGGAGGGGTGCATGTCTCCAGGGCAGCTGAGTTCAAAACAATGAGCAGAGCAGCCACTTGAGGGATTATGGGACACTTCTGGAAGCCAATTGATCACTTTCTGCACTGTAGTGTCTTTACACTGCCAATACAGTGCTGGAACCTCTGCGCTTTAAGGCTTATGACTCTCGTCGAGGTGGGTTTTTTTGCAATGCTGCAACTGAGGAGCTTCTGCACACTAAGTGACTTGACAGCGTGTACACCTCAGGAGTTACACCGCAGAAAGCTGCTTTACTGCGCAGTAACTTGCCAGTGTAGACAAGGCCTTTGTGTTGCTACATTAGACGAGTCCAAAGGGACACAGACACCCACTTTTAACGCTGGGAATTTTGGTGCCTATCTCCCTTAGGCTCTTTTGAAATCCCAGCCATATAATTCAGGCTTTCAATATTCTAAAGAATTTTAAAACAGGCTATTAATCTGCTTGATTCAAGTTCCATGTTGATATTTTGTCCCAAAAGCCACGGTTTTAGACTATGTAATAACATGAAAGCAATGATAGAGTTTGCCAACAATTGCTTCAAGTGATTTATGGCTCAGAATCAGGGCTGCTTATACCTACCTCACTAAGCCAATGTGAGGTTTAATTATATGATACTTACAAAGCACTTGAAGATCTCTGGTGGAGGAGGAGCATTATATGAGTGCAAAGTATTTTTTTTAATGTTAGACAATTTTTCCTTGTTACATTCCCCCGCCCCCCGAAACTAGTTTTAGTTCAGAGTTGAAAAATTTTCTTCCTCCCTAAACAAAGTATTTACAAAGGATGGCTAAGAACAATTTTCTTTGAGATGTAACATACTCTCTCTTTCGCTCTCTGTATAACATGTACTGATGTGTTTATTAAAAAAAGTTTATCTTGGTATCCAAGGAAAATCCATGTTATGGTGAGGTTAGCATTAGAAAAGCATTTTCATAATGACTATGATAATAGCTAAAAGCCAAGATATAAGGGTTATTTGTTAGTAGTACTTGCATAAGAAGCCATATAGTAAGAGTTACTTCTTCCTCTTTAATTTCATAGCTTATCTGAGACTTAACCATCCAGTGTAAAATAAAGAAGAGAAGGAAAACAATTTAAGATAGCAGATTCTAAATCTATTAGGACAAAGACAGTATTGTTATAATTCTATCACTTCCAATGACAAAAATAGTGGCAGTTGCTAACTAGAGAGCAGAACCAGGTTATGTTACAGTATGAGAAAGGGAAACCACACGTACACATCCAGACATACATGGTTACACGAACACACACCGTATCTATGGTCCACTAGTTAACATGTGTATTCCCCCATATACACTTCTGCAAGTTTCATTTTCTGGGACAGTCCATATGCTCATTAAACCCAATTACTCACTTTTATTGATCATTCATTACATTTCTAGCCATTCTGCGAAGTAAAAGCCGTTCTCATCCTTGATATTAATCAATGTCTTCACACATCGGAGACAGACCAAAACATTTAGGCCAACGCCAGGCATTTCTGAATACAAGACTATTTGTGCTATTATATAAAACGAACACCTAATAGAGCTCTGCACTGGTGTTTAGATAGGAGGTCATCTGAGTGCCTAGATGAAGCTGTATCTTCTTATTATGGAAGTGCTTATTTATACAATATGTTATAAATGGGTCCACACCAGCCCAAATTCCAACTTCATACCTGTTGGCCAATGGAAGCTCTGCAGTCCTCTCTGACTGCTCATTGTAGAAGCTATTCTGATGCCCTGCACCTATGTCCTATACGTGGTCCTGGGTAGCAGTAGCAGCCATGTCATTCCAGTTTAAACATTACCCACCTAGAACCACCCTACCCCAGAGGCAGAATCACAGTTTCTGCCATGTGGGTTGCCATGTACTTAATGAATGGCAGCCAGGGTCCAGAGAATACTACATCATAAAGAATAGTGCATTTCCTGACAACCTACAATACGGGTTTTAGAAAGAATGTAGCTTAATCTTGGCTGCCAACTTTGCTCCAAAGCTGAACCAGGGTGGGGTGAAGGTGAGAGCGCCATCCCTCCAGAGATGGCAAAAAGGGGATCAGTGATCAGGAGAAAGAAGTCTCCCCCTAACCTATCTGCAGGGGTGGAAAAGTTTCTCTATGTGCCCCACAAGTTTGGCTCTAACCACCTCTCTATTAGCAGCTAAGCAGAGCTCTATGTACTCCCACCCAGACATGGAGCATAAGTGAAGATGAAAGACAGGATCTGGATAGGCACTAACATGCAGGTAAGTGGGACACCTATTTGCAGTTCTCCTCCTCTCTATGGCCATCTCTTTAACTACCCTTTGCGGCTGCACAAAACATGGTAATCTTCCTCCTGAATCAGCTGTTCTAAAGGGGGGCTAGTATCCAGGACCTTGTGCATCCCTGTGTTACTCTGAAGACTCTGTACATTTGAGGCTGTATGTAAGCCTGAGGCCCTTTGCATGTAAAACACACACATGATAGGACTAGGATTATAATGCAGTAACTACATTCGGTATACCACGTGGTAAAACACTTAAGGGCTGCCAGTAGTGCTAACAGTAATGGAGACATTGGGGAGGTGCAATAATCATACTGCTACCTACATTCCTTTGTGGTGCTGGAGGTTTTATATTCAGAAATATTTAAATAAAAAAAGTGACAACTGTACGCCGCGTAGGCCTTGTATTTGTAGGCACAAAATCTAGTTGCTGGCCTTGTACCATGATGGCTGATGAGAAAAAAAAATCATGATCTCTTCGCCATAACAAAATTAACAAGCAGACATTTGCAAGGTTGATGTATATACATGGGAAAAATTAAAGCACATTATAAGTTTGCATGGTACCTCCACTATTCTATCTCCAGTTTTTAAGGTTCCATTTTTGCCAGCGGGGCTGTCTTCCAGAATGTGTTTGATAAAGATTCCCCTCATCACTTCACCATTGCTCAGCCGACTCCCCATCCCTCGTCCACCGACGATGCTGATTCCCAACGACTTGCCAGGTTCTCTCCAAAGCTCAACCCTACCATGACAAAAAAACAAAAAGGAATGCACTGTATTTACATCACAGCCTCTCGTCTACAAATTCCAAAGGCCTATCATTTGTACAATTCTATGGAACATATCTGAGAAAAATTCTTCCTTAGATGTTTTCATGCCTTTCTATGACAGTGGGTTGGGAATGACCAACACGTCTATTTAGTGTTTAACCTTTGTCTACTGCCCTCCATTTATTTTGGGCTTCTAGCTAACCCTCTTATCTCCAATGTAAGCTACAGCAAGACTAACTTATTCTTATATTTGGAAGGATACCTCCGAGAGCTTGGATACCATCCCACTAATTTATGTAAAGAGTTAATTTTGTCATCCCCTGGCTTAGGCTGATAAGTGCAAATTAAATTTAAAACTAATCTTCCCAGGCACTAAGCACACAAGTTAGATCACAGGGATTTAGGCTGACTGCAGTAAAAATAAATATGCCCTATTTGTGCTATGCACAGATATAACACTACACTATTTTGATTGCTTCCTTATGTACTTTACAGTATATGAAAGGATCCACTATAGTTCCAATTTCAACACACCAGCGTTTATGAGAGAGTGTCATTCAACTGGGAATCCACACTCACCGTCTGGGCTGGTTCCAGTGACTGTAAGCTGCATTCTGAAGTTCACTTTCTTCTCCCTCCCCCTCTTCACGTTCAGGTAGTTCTGGAATTTCTCTGCTAATAAATAAGAGCAAACAAAGTACTTTTAAAATCCTAACGAAGTCACAGGTGACGTTATGCAATGAACACCAAACCGATCAAACTGCTAGAATTAGAATTTCTACAGAGCATGGAGGTAGCCATGCTTTTACACGTGAAAATAGTGAGTACAAAAGTGCTTTAGTATCTAGCATACTTCTAAGTGTTCCCCTTATATTGTAAGAAAGATTTAAAATTCTTATGGTACAGCTGTGAACCATCTGGAATCACCACCCTCCCAGTAAGCTTCTGATATAATACAGTCTGTGTTTAGGAATTCCCTTTCCACGCTCTTCAATTAAGCTTTCACCAGTGACAACCACCGAATAGAATACTCTGCATTTCTAAATGGGAGTGGAGCCAAAATTTAAACAAACTGAAGTTTAGTTTCCAAAGGGGGGGAAAATGACAGCTATGATTTTCAAAAGTGACTAGTGATTTTGTTGCCCAACTTGAAACACTCTGAAGGTGATCTGCACCCTCTCTCTCTCTGGAAATCAGGTTTCTTCAAAGTGTCTCAAGCTGAAATGGAGGTACGCAATATTATTAGTCTCTTTTGAAAATCCTGACCAATAATTCTAATGATTTTCTGCGACTGGAAATTCACAGCTAATTGTGGCAACATACATTCTAGATGGAACAGAAATGCCATTTTCAAATTTTGGAGAAGTACAGCGGATAAGACATAATATTTGAATTTTTTTTCCTTAACCCCCCCCCCCACACACACACACCATCCTCCAGAACTGCTTGATTTCACAGAATATTCCCATTGTCTCTAAAATCTGATAATGTTGAAATATCAGTATTTTTTCAGTATTCTGTTGCTTTAAAAAAGCTATTTAATTAATGAAGAGTATTCCCAACCAGTATTTACATATACACCATCTTCTTATTCAGTGAGAGGCCTAGAAAGGGATGAACTTAATTAGAATAGGTTTTTAAATGGTGTATACTCCCCTCTTTTCAGACACATATATGTTAGCCTTTCAAAAATGTAATGGAAAACTGCTAGCCAGGCACAAAAATCTATTTGCCAGTGCTTTACCATAATGATAAAGAAAAAATCTTGATATTTTGCCTTCCCATAAAAAAAATTCTCTATGAGCAGAAGTCTGCAATACTGATGTCCATGCATGGGAAGAGTTAAAGCAAAAAGCCCTTACAGTTGGATAATAAGAGAACATATTGATTCACCTTACAGTATGTGCAGAAAAGAGATTGGGTGGTATTTTGTCCTCTGGTTGTTGTCCCAAACTGGCTTTGTACTCTTCCAAATGTTCTGCTGGCACATATGTAATCCTGCAATAAAACACAAAACAAAACACACAAAAGCAAAACAGAAGTCATGGGTCATGCCTCAGGTAACTTAAGGAAAGGCTGAATGATCGCCTTTTCAGACCATCTCAAGTATCAATTGATGTGAAACGGATAGTCCAGGTACAAGGAAGGATGATTTGCAACTATGCAAACCATATCCCTAATTAAGCAGTCACATTACTATGCATCTGTAGTCATGTTAGCTCCTGTCCACTTCACCAAGCTATCTGGTGCTGATCACACCATTTTTCATTTCTAATACTGGAAGTTGTACAGTTCACTTGTGGCAAAGATTGTCCTGCTGAAGGACTGGTTTACAACAAAAAGCCCTTGGCATCAACATGCTGAAGAACATGACTGGTGTGCAGCAGCGCTACTATCCCAAATGCTAGCAGGAAAAGGCTTGCACACATTTTACAGTAGCTTTTATGATTTCCATCAAGATTTGGAATTTGATTTTGTTCTCCACAGTTCCTGTGAAAACACTCTAACAAACAGAAAAAGAATAGCAGGTAGATGGAATGACAGATATGAGGGTGATGCATAGAAGGAGGAAGGAGCCTGAATAACACATCAGCAGCAAAACAGTAGAGGGGAGGGGGGTGCAGGAAAATGATGTTGGTTCCTTGTTTTACAGCCAATGCTAATGACAATGGCGTCTTCGGGGGGGGGGGGAGGAGTCCAAAAAGCCCTTCAGCATTCTTATCAATTAAAAGAATGGATCATTCCAATATAGTCAAACAGGAGAATGATGCTGATAGAACATTCTCTGCAGCTGGGTATTTGAGAACAGTTCCAAAGAATATGACAAAAACCTAGATAACCAGGGGAATCACAGTCTCTTGTTCCTACTGTTTAGTGGGGAAAAAATAGTGGGTTTTTCCACCATTTTCCCCCCCAAAACTCTTAAAAGTTCCAGAAAACAAAAATGTTTTGGTCCAGATCTTGTCCTACACTGGAAGAAAACTTACTAGTTTCAAACTGAGGTCTACCCTGCCAATCATCTGGTTATGGGAAAGGCAAGGCAATTTATTCCCCCACAGAATGGGCATGGAGACAAAGCCTGGCAAATGCAGAGAGATCCCAAGATCCATGAGGAAGGAAATCCTGCAACACTCGGTGTATCTGTACAGGACTGGGGTATTTGCATAGAAGCCCAATTCCTTTTCATTACTCCACAAAAGTATCCCTTATCTTGTGCTCCCATTGGTTTTCAACTGCACATGATAAGGGAGCAAAGGGAAGAGCACGTAGAAAGAACTTACATAAAACAATGCTGTCAACCTACAGCTTTGGGGTATAAAATTGATGGCAAAGAAAAGCCCCTTCCACTGTCCCTGACAAGGCATGCACCAGTCCCCACCACACAATCGAAGTGTCTCAAAAATGCACAAGGGGCTTCCACTGAGGGAGGGAGAAATAATGCCTCTTCTACACAATCCTCTCCAATAAAATCATTTCCCTTTGGCTGAAATTCCAGCCAATTTCCCACCCTCCACGTTGTTTGGTTTTATTTCCTAAGGCCTATAGTTTTTTGTGCCTGGGCCATCATGTAAATGCCCGCATTCAAACACTAGTGCCAATTACTGAGTGCTTTTCAGTTCTGAAACACAAAATGCCAATACAAAACATTCAGAGAAATGCCACACCTTTCTACTTGCATTTCCTCAAGAGTAGGACATCACTAGTTTTATGTGATTAAAAAAAAAATCACCCAAATTCTCCGATAATAAACATAAAAATCGTCATTTTTCCACGATTAAAATGAAATGCTGAACTTTCATTTCCCTAGTCACAATATATACAGGTATCAGTTGAACACAATGTTTTATTGATACACAATAGAACCCTGTTTATTGGAGCCTCCATTATCCGGCTCTCCATATTAACTGAATCACCAGCCGCCCAGTGCTGACGCAGTGGGTGCTGGCCGCCCGAGCTGCTGTCAGCCCCAGGCAGCTGGTAGCATAGTTAATACAGAGAGACAAATATGGAGGCTCAGATAAATGGGGTTCTACCGTATATGTTTTTCTTTTTTCACAAAATGTAAAAACTAAAGATTCTCACAAATTCCATGTTTTTCCATAGCAAACAGATTTCTAGGATTCTTGGACATCACTAGTGGACATACAATAGTACAACACATTTATATTATCAGACCTACATTCTGAAATGGAAAAAAAAGACCAAATCAAACTTTTCATAAAACTACTTTGAAAAGTTCCCTTTGTTTCTCCACATTTTAAAATAACCTCCTTTATCACGCAACCTCATCTCTCCAGCTGCAAGTGTCATAAATGGGAACAAAGAGTTAGAGCTGCTCTGACACAGCAACACAACCACTACTTTTGCAGGCTAGTTCATAAGAATTCCTGCCATTATAAAAGCCATGAAAACATTAAAATGTCATTTAAACCAGAGAAAAGCATCTATTGATCTAGTTATTTCCACCCTTCACTCAAATTAATCAAATTTCACCTTAATATAAATGCAGACATAAATAGCAAACAATAATAAAATATTTTTAAAAGGTATCTGCTTTAAATAATTCAGGACCATAAACAGTCTCTGCTAGTGTGTTAGTTAGAGCCTCACTCTGAGGCTGTTCTAAATTGTGTTGAGAGGTGATCTGACCCCCAGGATCACAAGATTGCCATGGTGATGTAAAGCCACCTTTGTCTCCCCTGGAGTCTTCTACCAAGAGCTCACCCATACCCAAGAATCAAGACCTAAACGACCAGATTAAAAAGAAAAAACAACAACAATATATTGTTTCAAGGGATCACATCCATATAAGTCTCACAAGTCTCTTATCTTCACCATTATGTTTGCAAATGTGAACATGGCAAGCCAGACTTCCTAATTAATTCCATCATAATGTTTTATATAAACAATATGGTCCAAATTTTGCCCTGAGATAGGCATAAACAAATCCTACTGATATAAATCAGTGGGAGCTATTCTTATGTGTCTGAAGGAAGAATTGGGCCCAACAGCTCAAGTTTTACCAATCCTCTGTCTACAGTAAACATACCAACGCAAACACGTAATTTGAATGCACTTAAATAAATACAGTACAACCTTGCTAATTTTATCTGCCCTAATCCACACACCCTATCATTTGCACACAAAACCTGCCTCTCTCTTCTCATTTCTCAGCTAAGATTTGATAGAGGTGTCCATTTGCAAATTTGTTTTTTATGTAGCCGATTATAAAGGCTTCAGTTATTTTACAAAATATGCTACAGAATATTTGCGAGTACACCAGAAAGTATCAGCAGGAATAAAAAACTAAGTTATACTTGTCATAGATGAAAAGTTACATTCTGCGCGGGGAGGTTAATGTGATTAGCAAATCAACACTTTACAAAATTCAGCCATCTGTAATCAGCTCCCCAGTCATTCCTGCGATTAGCTAGGTTCCACTGTAATGTAAGTACCATTTAGAATCCTCCCCCCTCTCCCTATATTTACACCATGTTACTCAAATGAAATTATAGAATTAGATCTAGTGGAATAACCAACATTGTATGGAGTGAGGCTCTGCATGAGAGCATATAGTACAATGTCCTAACAAAGCAAAGCTCTGTTAAAAGCCCTGTTTTATTGGGGCTGCTTTCTTTGCTAGTCTCTGAAAGATGTTGACTGCCATCTCCAGTGAGAGCTGGAATTGCTCAGTACCTTGCATGATCAAATCATCGGTGACCAGGGGCCCAGGACTGTGAGGGTTCCCAGGTACTGTGCCACTGGAGTTCTTAGTGCGGAGAGACAGAAATAAAGATAACAATGTTCTACTCCAACATTGAAAAGGCTTGTCCATAGGAGAAACTGACACCAGCTTTAAAACTTACTCCAAAATGTGGTCAGGAAGAAGGATGGAGAAGTGAAACGAACTGCTGGGGGGAGGGGGAGGGGAGTGGGGAAATAGAGAGGACATACAAATCAGAGAAAAAAGGGTAAATGAGTGAATTATAGATGCATTGTATTTCTGATCTGTAAGAGGTTAAAATGTCAAAGTTTAATAACTTCCTCTCCTTTATAACAGTCAGTTTTATATTGAAAATGTTGCTATTTCCTTTCTGATGAGATGCAAAAAAGAAAATAAAAAATTAACATGCACTTTGCAAAGAAAGCAGTGACAATGGAAACACCAAATGGTGTAGATATGAAAACATTTCGTAAACACAACACCGCATGCAGTACAAAAGGAACATTAATTGCATGCTTGGTCAAACAGCCACACAAAAACCTTTAAACACTAACAGAGGAAACAAACTGAGTAATGAAGGACAAGTTACTGTAGCCAACATACAGTTTATTTTATAACTATACCAAACCTTTTTGTTACATGTGGAGAAAATAAAACATTAGTGCCAAAGAAAATATGACACTGAGATTAATCCAGATATCAGTACATCCATATATGTATCAATTCCAATGATTGTCCCTTACACACAAGCTATTTGGATACACTCTACATGGATAATAAGACTGAAATAAAGCAAAATAAAAATCAGCAATTTTTCAGAAATTTTAATACAGTCTGAGGAAGTATGCTCCAATCTGCATGCTTAAAAGCCATATATATATTTACTGTACCTATATCTGGATACATCCCTGACATTTTGGATGTTATAAAAGCATGAAATGATTCACACACAAGTTGCAACATAGAGCCATAATGAGCTTTTGAATCACCGATACTCACACATAAAAGGGGGCCTGATCATCAGCAGGTGCTGGAGAAGATCTAGAATGTGAAGCATACGATGCAGCATCTTTTTACAATGGTGTTAACAAATGTCAGTGTCTCATGCTGAATGTGAGTTGCATACATATGTAGTTAAAAGTGTGAGCTTCTATTTATTTATTATTTATTTATTTTTACCCCTTCCACCAACATTCCATCTACACCTCCCCCGGAAAGCATCTGCTCTTTATTGGTGTCTATAGCAGTGATTATTAACAAGCATGGAAAAATGGAACTGCAATCAATCTTTTATTCCTTGATCAGGAATTCATCCACACACTTTAGGTTAAGGCAGGTGAATTTTGATTCAGCTCAGTAATTATCTGGCAGATGTTACTAGCAGCTGCTGCTGAGCAAAAAACCCTGGCTATTATTACAGAAATATAAGAGCCTCTGGCAAGGTGGAGTGAGAAGTGAAACAGAATGCATTCTGGCAAGGCCACACATCTGTTTTTCCACAAAAAAATAATGAAACCTGGAATTCAAACTGTCTGGTCTTGAACTCCTGAAGCTCAAATATCCTTGCATAAAAATAAAACAAAGTTGAGGTCTGCAATAGGTGCACAACACAAATGTTTTGGGTGGTTTTTCAACAAATCATATTCCCCATAAAATATGCTATGCAACTTTGTAATTGAAATAGTTTTATTTAAGCCCCACCCAACTCCACATTGAGGTCACCTGGTACAGGAAAGTGCCTCAACAACTTCACATTTTAGGCCCTACAGTGCAGCCCCCTGCCTATATGCTGTAAATTAATCAAGACTGTGATGGGAATGATTTGATTCTTCTCCCCACAGGCGAAGCATGCTGCCTCCCACAAGACTATTAACACGTTAGCCTGAAAGACTGGGCATTGAACCACTAGGGTCTCCTGCATGGCAGTGCAGAATACTTTCACTGGCCTCCAGACTGATATGGGCTAGGCTATGCGCCCTGTTCAGCAATCAGAAATCACTATAGTTCTGCATAATCAGAGCTCTCCAGTTTGGACATTTGCAGAAAAATCCAGGTCTATTTTTGTGATACTGTAATTCAGTGTTTTTCTGGAACTTTACAGTGCTCTTGACAGTGTAAAATGAATGAGAAATGATGCTGTACTGACAAAAGAGGGTAACAAGAGCAAAACCAGAGTCATTTGACCGAAATGTCGCAGTCCTTGCTCCTACAAGACTCCCAGTGAAGTCACAGCAGGGTTTGGCCTTTTATTTTGTTATTTCTTTGCAGTGGAGGGAGCAGGCTTCAACTTGTGAAGTTTTATTAAGCAGACTTTTAACTGGTAACTGTAGATGTCAAATGAAAACTTGACATATTCAGAATTATAATGACAAATGCCCTATTTCTTTGAGATTTTCTGAACACTGCTACATCCATCAAATCTCTGACAGAATTACAACCACTCTGACTACAACACCAAATTTTCATTTAACATCTACATTTACCAGTTAGCCTACCGAATAAATTTTCAAACACCTGTATCAATGGTACTTCTACAAGTTGAAGTCCGCTCCTCCCACACTGCAAAGAAATAACCGGTAAAAAATCCTGGTATAGCTGCACCCAAAGCCATGGCTGCTCCAAGCCATGTCCTTTGCAATTTAAAGCAATACAACAGTTATGTGCTTTAAGGGGGGAAGGAGGGGGATAGCTCAGTGGTTTGAGCATTGGCCTGCTAAACCCAGGGTTGAGTTCAATCCTTGAGGGGGCCACTTAGGGATCTGGGGCAAAATCAGTACTTGGTCCTGCTAGTGAAATCAGGGGGCTGGACTCAATGACCTTTCAAGGTCCCTTCCAGTTCTAGGAGATAGCATATCTCCATTAATTTTAACTTTTTTTTTAATTGTCAACCTTTTGCTCACTACTTTTAAAATTGTATTTCCATATCTTTTGCCTTATTTATATCTTCAATTCCCTTTCTCCCTTTACACCATATTTTCTTTCTTACTACAGATCCTGATGCGTATTTTCCTGCATTGCCTTAAGTAACTGTTTCCCCTTTTCCTTCTCTCTCTCCTTCTTTTCATACGTGTTCTCTACCCC